AAAAAGTAAACATTTCAGCTAATAGAAATCAAATGCCAAATTTTCCATATGCTATATACTTAGTGAAAAATTTACCACAAAGTATAACATATGAAAAATTTGATACAACAAATAACATTGTATTAAAAAGTATTTTTTGCACTCAAATACTAAATTTATAATTGACACATTAATTATAATATTGCATCGGAGATGCTCTAACATTATACTCCATCCAAAAAATCACAAAATCGACCCAAATCAATTACCCGCCTCCATCCACCTCCACTATCGGGTGGTTCTAGGTTGGGATTTCGGGGATTTTCTTGTCCTCCAACCACTGTTGGGTGTATTCTGCACAACTCAAGTTGACAATGCTCCAAATTATTCAAAGAATAGGGTTTAAGAACATACCAATATCGAAGTCTCACATTATTCACCAAAAATCCAAAGTCCGAGATTACAAATTGTGCAACTAACCATTAAATTTACTGATTCAAATAATATATTTTACCTCCACCTGAGGTCAATCTCATAGCAAAGTGAAAGATCAACAAAAAAAAAAAAGAGCCCCATCCTCATCCTCTTGAAGATAAAGAAAACAATTAGAAATGCAAATCTGACAGAAATGAGACTGATCCAATAGCATTGCAAAAGCTTTCCTCGTTAACAAGGGCCTTTAAAAAGCATTCCCTCATGATAAAGTAAGTCACTACAGGTTCCGAAGCTTGGCAAACGCAAAATCATATGGGAATGAGCTGCATCATATGAATACGAAATTCTGAACAGAAACAAGCTGATTTGGACTAGTGTATCAAGTCAATGAACCCGAGGCTGGTTCTTTTTCTTCAATAAAAAATGGAATGGGCTTGGTTGGGGCTGGAAGGCGGCCGATGCTATCAACTTTATCCCTTTGTTTTGGAGGAGGTCTAGCTGCTTTCGGCAACAACCTGCCTTTCTTTTCAAACCACTCGGGTTTAAGCAATGCCCGGAAGCCCAACTTGTTGTAATATACTTTTCTCACAGACCCACCTGCAGCTTCCACCGCCGCCTTTGCCCTAACAGTGACCCTTGATACCTGTAAAGTGTATACTCCACTTAGAAGCCCAACTTTGTCTTTGCATCCATTGATAAGACCAATATGTAAAGACTAAAGCGTAAACTCCGTTTCCAATTGTCAATGTAACTATATACTTCATTCACCAGCTAAGTCTTTGATACATCCATGCATACCAGAACGTGAAATTAAGAGGAGTATATAGAACCAAAAAGTCATACAATATGCATATACTGCTTCACGTGTATAATTTTCCAGATGTCTCAAATGGCTAGCAAATAAAGTAACCCTGAAGCCTAAAAGTCAATAACTGACTAGCCTAGCAGTGAACTATCAGAAAATTTGGATTCCAAAGTCTAGAGTGTATGAATTCGGTTCCAATTGATTTGTATACAGTCCATAACACAATTTATCAGATAATATATAAATTATAAAACATATTTTGATTTCATACTGATACAAGTTTACAGCTGACTTCGTGCTACGTATGTATATTTTGCAATAAATTCACTTCGGCAAGCCAAAACGATTAGAAAAGGATAAAATAGATTTGTCACAAATTCATTACAGAAAAATGCTCATCAGTAAGAAAAAGTTATTCATCAGAAACAAAATAGCAAGTTCACTTCAGTGCAACACGCACAAAGATCTCAGATAAAAACTTACCTCGAGATGAATTGGCCACTTGATCTGGTCAGCACCACGTCCCATTAATCTTACTCCATCTTTAATTTGTTTTCCTATTGCTTCTGTATCCTATCACAATGTTGGCAACCAAATAAGCCTGAGGCCGAATGTAGAAATGCTTCAATTTCACAAGCTGGACTAGTAATTTAGTATACCTTGAGTGTTTTCATTGTAATTAGCTCATGAGAATCAATCTTGCCTTCATTTATGAGTTTTGCAATCTTTCCCAACCCCACTGGCTGCCAAAAAAAACAAAAGGGAACAGTCATCAGAATAATGAGATTTCCAGTTTTCTTCCTCTTGCATTCATGTTCTCTCTGGAATTCTCTGTTTGATATCTTTCTGTCTATCTAATCTCTAGTGATTCTATTTCTCTATCGATTATATCTCTCCTCTCTTGATTCTTTTTGGTACATCAGAAAGGTTTTAAGAAAAATTCAATAACCAAACTAGTTTCCCACGTACCCAAATCCATTTCCTTCATACATTCAAAACAAACTAAGAAAAAAAAAAAAAAGATATTCAACAAGGCAAAGAAACTGGCGCACACAATAGTCAAATCAAAATAAAATAAAAAAAGCTAATTGAACGTTTTAAATCTCTAAATCGCACCCAATAAAACTCTACAATGCGATCCCATCATTAATGCACAGAATTTCCTAAAATGCGAGCCAAATTCATAAACTAAATCAAGTTCCAACCTCCAAGTACCTGAAATAGATTCAAAACAAACTATGAATAACAAAAAAAGAAATTTAATATGGCAAAGAAACTGATGCACTCAAAAAAAAAAAAAAAAAAAAAAAAGAAAACAACAACTATACACGGCATTTCACTATATTCAAAAACCTACCAATAAAGCTTTAACTTTTCGCGTAATTCAAGCAAAAATTCAAAGTTCGAAGTACCTGAAAAGTGAGGCTAAAGGGGTTCTTAAACCCTCGCTTGGGAAAACGACGTCGTAACGGTGTCTGACCACCTTCAAACCCTAGCTTCCCGGAGCCTCTAGCCTTCTGACCCTTGTGTCCCCTCCCGGCGGTCTTGCCCTTCCCGGAGCCAATCCCACGGCCTTTCCTCGTCTTCTGCTTCCTCGGCACATTCCCTCTCAAATCGTTCAGGCTCAGCAGACTGTACGCTCGAAAACCCCCAAATCCAAACCATAACCCGAACTCTCCTCCGCCATTGTTGAGCTTCGAATTAGGGTTAGGGCATTGCAGGAACCGTAGGGATTGTTGGATCGGGAGCGGTCGAGGTGTTATGGCGTTGAAGATTGAGCTTGATAGGATTGAGCAGATTCTTCTTCTGAGCATTGCTGCTATTTTTGATGGATTTTCAGTTGGTATTCATTAGATTGGCATCAGAAATGAGGTTTAGGGTTTTTGTGACAATTTGGAGAAGAAGAAAAGAGAGAGAGAGGCTGTCATCCTCTGCGGACGGATCTTCGTTACGGCGATGGTAAGAGCTCCTGATGGATCTTTGTTTCGACGGTTGGGATTCTATTTGTGCTGTGTGGGTTTAACAGAGCGGAATGTCGTTTTTACTTCCATTTGGAAATAAACGACTTAGAAAGTAGAAACAAACTATACGTCGTTCAGAGCAAAAAAATTTTATGCTATAGTATTAGACGGCATTTAACTCTTTTTTTTTTACTATTCTTTCCGCAAAATCCATAAATAAAAGAAATGAAAAAAGTGAGAAAAGACTTGAAGTGAAAGACATGAAAAAAAAAAATTTAACTTATATTTTGTTGTGTTTTAAATTAACTCTATTTTATTTTTTTAATTTAATTTGATGTGATATTTTTTAGTAAATGCGAAGCTGACACGTGACCACTTATTTGAGCGAACCAATTATAGGCCCCGTTCATTTCGCTAGTTCGAGTTTAGAATTTGAGTTTTGCTACAGTAAAAAGCTCTCACAAACAATCACATCTAATTTTTTTGCTACAGTAAAAAGCTCTCACATAAAATCACATATCAACTCGAATTAAAAACTCGAATCAGCGAACTAAACGGGCCCATAGAGTGTTATGTGTTTCCCACTAAAAAAGGGTGCCTAGTCATTGATTGACACGTGGCGATTTAACTAAGGCCTACCGCATTGAATCACCTTCTCTAACATTAAAAAAAACCGTCTCATTAAGGGAAATAAGAAAAAAGAAAAAAAGAGAGAGTAAAAAGAATGAAAATTAAAACAAAAATAAAAACAAAAAACCTCACTACTGAAACATTCATTAAGGAAACGCAATTTAAAAAAATTTAGATAGAGATATGCATCAGAAGAAATTATTTAAACGGAGAATGAAAAAGAGCATATTTATGGGGGCAAATTAGGAGAAAAGGAAAAAAAAGAGAAATATATAATATGGGAAGAAAGATAAGAACGTAAAAAAGATAGATAAAAAAGTAAGAATGGAGAAAAAAAGGAAGTATAGTTTACAAATAAGAGAGAAAAAAGAAAGTAAAAAAAAAAAAGATTAAAAAAACTTTTAAGAAAGTGAAAGTAGAAAAAATAAAAAAAAATAAAAAGGAGAAAAGGGTAGGGGGTTAATGAAACGGGGGTAACGAAACCCCCCTCCCAAAAAAACGGATTGGGCTCTAGTATTGTTGATTGATTAGCACATCTTAGAATTAACATGTAAAGTTTATTATCAGTTGAATAACAACAACAACAACAACAACAATCATTATAATTTAATGGTAAATTGACATTTAGATTTTTGTAAAACATAATAATATGTTCTTCGGCTTTTTAGATTTTAACAACCAGTGGTAGATTGTTGAGTGATTTATTTATAGTTGCGGTCATGGGGCATCTAGTATATAAAATATGTAGGTTGTGTTTAGAATTAATCCTGTTTTTATTTTTTACATTTTTCAAGAAAAAAAAATGAAAACGTTTTTAAAATGACATTTGGCTTAATAAAGATAAAAAATAAAAATGAAAATGATTTTTTAATTTAGTGTAAAATGAGAGAGAAATAAAAAACGATTTTTAGTCATTTTTCATTTTTTGTTTTCATTTTCTCCTCTCTCAAGTAGAGAGAAAGAGAAAGAAAGACATTAATAGATTTTTTTATATTAAAAACAATATCTTAATAAAACTAACAAATACATTTTTAAAAATAATTTATATTTGAGATTAAAAACATTTTTATTTTTATTTTTATACAAAAAAACAAAATTATTTTAAAACGAATTCTAAATGTACCCGTAGTTTCTTTCTCAAAATTTGCTTTTTTATTTGCGCTCTATGCGCTATGCCACATCAAACTTTTACACAAAGAAACGACATGGCACTCAGATGAATATATGACACGAAACTTTTAGTGCTAAAGTCGTTTTATCCAAATTGCATCAAACTTTAATGACATGTCGTTTATATCATGTCGTCATGACATCAAACGAAATAATGACTGTTTATTAACCAAATTGCATCATACTTCATCCTAATGACGACATGTCGTTTAATAAATTTCAAACGACATGTCATTTAATAAATTTCAAATGGCATGTCGTTTAATAAATTTCATGACATGATATTGTGCTTTAACCAAATTGCATCAAACTTCATAATAATGACATGTCGTTTATAACTAGATGCCTGCCGATAAACTCCTGACGAATAAATTGTATCAAACTTCATAAGTAATAACGGCATGTCGTTTATCTCTACGTGACTGCAAACTTATACTTCGCACGACATGTAGCCTGACACAAACGACAGTAACCTTCCGTTGAAAATAATGTGTTTCCGACCAGGCACGTGCTTTTGGTACGAAGAATATTACTTCAATTATATCTTCTAATCTCTGCCGAATATTTAACTTATTTCTGTTCCTTTCTATAGTCATTTGAAACAATGGTCTCATTCCGTCAAAAAAAAAAAAAAAGGAAAAACAATGGTCTCATAAAATTGACATTTCTGTCTTCTGATATCAAAAGCCCGAACAACCCGTGATAATATTTTGAATAATGAATGTCGTTTAAGCCAAAAACATAATTTTATTTGCAAACATGCCCTGTTTCATTAAAAATAAATAATTGCATTAACAAAGCATAAAAAGAAACTTCTAGAATCATCTAGACCAATTTAGGCAGCTCAACAGAATTGACATAGTACAGTTCTGGTCACATGCAAAAGTTATACAGCTCAACTGAACTATCATTTTTTAATTGTAAGGATGATCAATTTACAATGTGGTGACAGATTATTAGTTTAATTTAACTACTCATGAAAAAAAAATGTGCTCAATGTAAAATGATTTCTGCATTATTCAATACATACACAGTGATAATAAATAAATAAATAAATAAATAGGCTTCAAACCATTTAAGAAAAATATACAGATCTCAAATGGTGCAGATTCCACCTAGATTGTTTCTCTTGAAAAATTGGCTGCAGAACATGCAGCTATACATTTTTCTGTGTTAGCTATAATAATTACAGACAAGGGAGAAATAATTAATGAAAGAAAATTTTAGCATCCTAAAATGCTAATAATCAAAGTAATAAATCAAACCCTCCAGAGTTAAATCTTTTCAACTCTTAAGGCTTAATTGTTAAATGTTCCTTTGATCTTTCTAATATGAAGATGTTGCCTTTGTCATCCCTCCCTATCCTCATGGTATCATCAACATAGCTAACAGAGCTTGAATTAAGGAAACAAAGTACAATAAAACAATGTTTTTATGAAACATGAATAAATTGAAAATAATGCACAGAAGGAGATAAAAATTAATTTGGATACGTGATTTCTAGCCAACCTTCTGGATTGAAGATGCCAAGCAGAAGATCATAATTTTTTCGGAAGACGTTCATCAACTATTTGTGCCATCCGAGAATGAAGAGAGAATTCAAGTCAGATCATACTAATTAGAAGGAGAATTCTTTAGTAGAGCAAGGTTGGGGAACAACTACTGGTAGGCATAATTCACAACCGTCACATTTTTGATAAATTTTGTTAAGCCGTGGTAATGTTCTTCTAATCTGATATGATTGTAATGCGATTTAAGGGTTGTTTTTTTTCGTACCCTAGTGTAGAACTATTCTAGAGAAAACTATTCCACAAGGAAGCATATTATGCAATGTCACAATACCTGGTCTGGAGTTATTGTTGAGCTATCATAGTTGATGTTGACTCTCTGCACATAAAAAAAAGGAAAAAAAAAAAATTTACTGAGGGTGATATCTCACAAGCACAAAAAGGTTTTAATCAGAATTTAGCACATCTTAGAATGAGCCAAAAAAAAAAAAAAAGAAAAAGGTACAAGAGTATTAACTGATCTTGATGCAATCTTGAAGGAGGCCTCAATAGTCAACTTTCCATCTAAAAATTTGAATCCTCTCACATTAAACTTGATTACATTAACTGCTTTGCTCTCCATTTTGGGACATGATCAATAAATGTTGACAAACATTATGAATAAACAAAAACCCAAAATAACAAAATCACCTCATACTTCATAACATAAAAAAAAAGTAAAACCCTTTATTGGTGGCTGAACTAAGTATACATATCCAAATCCAGAAATCAATTTCTTTTTTTTTTCTTTTCGATTTCAGACAAACACTTGAACGGAACAAAAACACTTATCATTTTTCTAAAAGCAAATTTGCCTAGAAATATTCTTGGAAGGTGTACCTTAGAAACATCAATTGTCTGGAAGAAATCCCCCAATGAGATAAAATCTCTCAAACCCAGCTTTGTTCTCTTTGAACCCAATATTGTAATTGTACTATACACAAGCTTCCAGCATCCAACCACCTTTCCAGGAATAGAAACTTTTAAGAAAAAAGGAAAACTTTAACCATAAGCTTAAAAAGACAAATTACTCTAATATAATTTGGAATAAACAAACCTTTTCAAGATTTAGAGTAGGATCTGGAGTTGGGTTTAAAGATTCTAGTTGCTTCACCAGCTCTTCAATCTCAGACTTCTTCTTAGAGGGGGCTCCAAAAATCCCTCTATTAATACCTTGCAAAAAAAAAATATTATTTTTTAATTCAACAGAAACCCCATTACAGAAATGGTTTCAAATTGCTTTAAAAAAAAAAAAAAAAAAAAAAAAAACTCTTACCTTTGAGAGCCTGATAAAGCTGAGTTTTGATATCAGTAAGTGTCTCTTCTTCAACTAAGCCTGGGTTTTGCTCGGCAACTCTGGCTACGTAAATGGGCAATGACCCAAATGGGCAATCATGACCATATCTTCTTTTTCTGATCATATGATGTGTGGCTGAGATTACTCTGTGGGTTCTTCTTATCTGGCTTGGAGCCGCAAGGGAAGTTGGGAATAGTGGTTGGACAAGAGTGGTAGCCATGGATACACAAATCAATCAATGTTGCTGAAAATGTTTGAGCTTTTGTTAGCTCAAGAACATGGCCAAAAAGATTGGAGGAAGCTTGTTTAAGCTTCAGTTCTCGCTAGCTTCTTCTCTTCATGTTTATTGTACTTTGTACTCTCTTTTTTACTTTTACATTTTTTTGTCACTTTAAATAGTAGGTCCAGGTTCCACTTTTCCTTATTCACGGCCTGCAAGTTACTTGTGTTGTCGTTTCTTTATTGAGAGTTTTTCTGAATTTCGCTGTATTAATAGTATCAATCACATCAAATTGATATAGATTTAAATTTATTTTTACAGGAATTATAAGAAAAAAATACATTCTTTATTTTCTTGTTGTTGCTAAATTGAGGGGTAAAAAATGAAACAATTTCTGGTTCAGTAGAGATATATTATAGTATCGTTCATTGAACTAATTTAAATTTATAATTTAAATTTTATTATAATAAAAAATTTTAAAAAATAATTATATTTAATTTTTTTATTATAATAAACAAATTTTAAATAAAATTATATTTTTATTTAAATTAAAATTTTAAATCAACGTATTAAACAGATGTATCTCCGTCGTCCAATTTTTTTTTTCTTTTTTGGAGTAGTTTTCAGGATAGACTTGGGAAACGTGTGGTTGTTAGTTTTGGCTTCCCAACTCCCTGTGACCTGTCCCTTGTTAAGATGCTTTACAAGTGTTCGTTCTTTTGTTTTTTTTTTGTTTTGTTTTTATTATTTTTTTAATTTTTTTTAATGCAATATCGAATGACATTTGTATAAGATAAGATGCAAGCCCATCTCTCCCGCGAACCGGCAACGGCTATCAAATTAATGGCATTCAATTAACATTATTGACACACGTAAAAGGCCTTACATGAGATAAATGAGATAAAAGGATTTATTGTTTATTTCACTAATTTAAATTTAAATTTTAAATTTTATTATAGTAAAAAAATTTTAAAAACAGTCACATTTAATTTTTTTATTATAATAAAAAATTCTCACATAAAAATTATATCTCAACTCGAATTAAAAATTTAAATTAACGAACTAAATAGACCTTAACTATTTAGAAAGTCTTTGTTTTAAAAAAGAGAAATGTTAGCCTTTTTTGTCATATCTTATATTTAATATTTAATACGTGAACTTTATTAATTTAATACATTATTAATTAAATAAATAATAAAAATTCACATGTCAAATAATAAATATAAAAAATGATAATGACAAAAATAATGACACTGTTATTTTCTTTAAAAAAACGCTAAAAAATTTAGTGTGGGAAATTAGGGATTTAAGAAAAAAAAAAAACCATTAACTACTAAGTGTGACGGCCTAGAGGTGAAGGATTTCGTGTTTAGATTTGTGGTAAAAAATTTAGTGTTACGTAGTTCTGTCTGAACGGTCTAAAATATGAAGGCTTATTCCTAATAACTCATTGTCATTGAGAAATTGCAGGGTCAATCATGCTGTCATTCTCTCTATCTTCTGCTATTGCCATGTAACATCTCATCTCTCTGGAAAATAATAATAATAATAAACCACTTTTTTTTAGTTTTAATTACAATATTGTCACTCATTTTTTTAACCAGTAATAACATCTTGGTATTTCTTTTTATCACTTATTACATAATTGCCATTGAGGCTTTCGATTAATGTAGCTGCAAAAAAGTTAAAACACACATAATTTGCTTGGTGAGAGATACTAATAGTGATTGGTACATAATCCAACCTAGAATATACCAAACTGTTATTAGTTTGTCGCGTGCCATGATCCTCTGTTGTTTAACTTCCAAGTCTCAACTCTTCTCAACATGCCTCATTCATAACTCTTTCCGAAAATCATAAACTTCTCCGAAGATAACAATTCACATGATTTGATTTGTAAAACACTAGTGCAACTTTGTCTAAACTATAATAATAAAAATTAAAAAAAAAATCCATGAAATGTATGCAACTCTAAATTTTGTAATCCACAGATAGTATAAACAGGGCAATAATAACAAGTAGAACAATTCTGTTTCAACTTTGGTAGGTGCACTTTACCCAGTTTACAGTGTCCACTGATTCACTTGGGACATGTTATTAAAACTGTTCCAAAGCATGTCTAAGCTGCCGGTTTCGAATTGTCGGACTCTTGCTGTTGTTTCCACTGGTCCGGGGTCTGAGCTTTCTTTATTGAAAGGGCATGGATTTCTTTCATCTCGTTTTCCAGAGCAGCATTCACAAGACGATGTCGCTCTAGCAACCTCTTCCCTTCAAATTTTGTCGATACAATTTCGACAGCAAAGCTTGCACCGCATCTGATTACCAAAGAAATTAAATTCAGCAGAAATAACATTAAAAATGTGAAAATTTGAAAAGTACTTTTGATCTTTTCTTGGGACTGGGAAGGGGAAGGATGTTGAGTTGGTTAAGTTCCAAAACCCGGACATTTTTGTAAAAATGAGACTTACCCTCCAGAGGTATCGATGACTTCCTGAAACCGAAACAAAAGAAAGACATGAGCAAATTTTTATGGAAAAGCTTGAGAAAGGCATAACTCTTAACATGGAAGAAACAATCATCTATTTGGAATGGATATGTAAAGAATGTGTACTAAGGCCTATACTTGTACGCTTCAAAAATCAAGGGAACAAAAAGATAAAAACAAAAGTGGGAGAATGTTCAAGCACAATATAAATAAAAAGTACAAGTTGATTACAATCTCTAATGTTTCGTGCCATATAAGTACAAAGATAGCTGAACAAGAGACTCGCAATTTTCGTCAAAGGCAGGCAGGGAATATTTAGTCCAGTCACAAGCCTTCTCCAACATGCCAACTCACTGACCCGAGGACACATAAAAGGAAAGCTTCTCAAACCTGTTTTATTACATTAGGGGCAATTTAATAACCTCATCATGCATCCATAATCCCTCCAAATTGCTTACTATTGGAATATTTAGTTCCAGGGTGAACTACAGAAGCCGTACCTTTCTTTATTTTATTTTATTTTTTTTCCTTTTCAATTTCTTTTCCATTTGATAAGCGAAGAAAAGCAAGGTGAAAGGAGAGAAAAATGATATGTTTAGTGTTTAAAGCTCCTTTATATCCATTTTCTCCCTTTCCTACTCTTCCTCTCCTTCTTCCCTCTCTCCTAGATTTGACTACCGTTCGACGACTATAAACTTATAGAACCACAATGTTTGTAAAACTTTAACCCCCAATTAATTGCAGCAACCGATTTGCCACATGCAATTCATAAGCATAGTTCGATTTAAGAGTAATGAGGTACCGACTTGTTTACCAAATTTTGGCCATCAAGTGAGGTGATATTGACAAATGAAAAATAATATTAATTTGTCACATCACCTAGTGACCAAAATTTGGTAAACAAATTAGTACTCCAAACCTTACTCCGAATTAACCATATATATCTTGTGTCTCGCCAATTTACAATTATAACTTAGCTGTTGCATCACTTGGTTGCCAACACTGGATAAAAACCCTATTTATCCTCAATGGAGATAAATCTCCATATATTAAATTGTGATGTGGGTATAGTACAGAGTGGTAAACTCACATGGCAGACTAACAAGTCACGGCCGAATGTTCGATGATGTATCTCCAATATCGACGTAATCTTGTTCAATATGGTAAACAATGTATAATGAAAAATTAAAAATATGCAAAACTCATACTAAAGAGCAGTTATATTCATCCTGACTTTGGTGAGTCGGGGTCTCACATGTACTAGGCACTACCCCGTGAGATATCCCAACTAACCCAAATTGGGATGAATAACATTTTACTCTACTAAGGTGCATTTATTCACCAAATGACATGAAAAGCCACAAACATCATATATGATGATGGTGATGAATCTGATCATTTCACCATCAATATGGAATGATAATAAAAAAACACGTTATTGTCACATCAGTTGATTAAAAAGAACAATATCTTAGAGCTTATGAACCTTAATTGTTCTGGTCAGATTGTATTGTTCATTATGAGGACTCTCAGATGCAAGTGGGCATCTGAAAAAAAAAAAAAAAAAGAGAGTTTAGCTGGAAGTGACTGACACATGGGACCTACTAGTAGTTTAAGGTTTCTTGACAAACAACATGCAGAGTGAGAGACGCTGAAGGGACAAAACAGACAGAGCAAATTGTAAACCAAATTCAAATAATCATAGAGCACACGACAAGATCCATTATCATATAGTCCATGATAATCTATAAAACGAACTTTCTGTTCTTTCCAATGTCCTGCCCTCATGCATTGTTTATACTCCAAGGCACAAACAGTGACTACAATGCAATCTATTAGTATTACCGCCAAATGTATACGACCAATTTCCCTATCAAATTACTAGAGTCCTCCTGCTAATAAAGATATTCCTTTTTCAATTTATAAAAAATAGAGAAACATTTTCATTTCCTTTTTCACAATAGCATTTCTATTCAAACATTAGGTGAGGTAGGTCCCACACAAACTTGAGAAAATAAGTCATTAAGAATACAAGGAGCAATTGTACAACCAAATATGTTAGGTCACACCATAGATTTGGAGACAATTGACTACATTGTAGGAACATTATACCATTGGGAATCCAAACAGCGCATGAGTATGGAAAATTACGGAGGACACAAGATACTTTTACGCCTCTTTTGTATTTCTGGTTCGAGGTTTCAACGCGAGTTGAAAAGTAAACTTATGTGAGAGAAAATATTGTAGCACAAAAAGTTGAATTTTGAATTTTTACGATAGAAAACACTATAGCAATAACTTGAGTTTCAATTCCATCTAACGAAACGAACAGAACCTTAAAAACTATCACATACTACGTGATAATGGATCTTGTTATGTGTTGCACGCTTATTCGAAATTGAATTACAATCCGCATCTCTACCTTGTCCTTCTGAGTGAAATTTACTCAAATGACTAACTACAAAGTAAAACTGGCAAAAATGAGAAAAGAATTTCACTTTACAAAGCAGTCATTCTAGCAAATTCTACTCTCTCTCCACTTAAGAATAAGATTATAAAGAGGCCTTTATAAAAATGACTCAATAGGAAAGTGTTATTAGTAAAATAATTTTTTAAAAATTTTTATTTGTAAGGAACGACCACTTTTTACAAAGAACTTCTTCATTAAAGAAGATCATTTTGCCAATATCGCGTTGTTGGATTGTCATTCTAGCAAATTTCTCGATGATAAACCTTAAAATTTAGAACTACAAAAACCGACCCAAGAACCCTAGCTTACCACAAACAGTTCCGAGTAAGGCACAGTTTTGAGACCCAAACATCCAAATTTCGAAAAGAAGGCAACAGAATCAAGAACCATTGCAAGAATATTTTACAAAAACCCACCTCAAAAAACTTCATGAAACCATTAATTAAACTCAAACTAGTTAGAAACTTTGAATGAGAACAAAACAGTAAACAACAAGTTCAAGGAAAAAACATTATTAAGAAAAAAAAACAGAGAAAATCAAAGGGATTTTGGTAAGTGTAGAAAGCAAAGCTTACTAGATGAGAAGGACTGAGTTTTGAGGTGAGTGAAGATTCGACTTGTTCCTTTGTCACTCCCATGTTTTCTCTTCTCTCTCTCTTTGCCTCTCGAGCTTCCAAAGTTTGTGCGTTGTGAATAAAAAACCGAACGGAGAATCGGAATCGAATGCCTCAAATTGAAAGACTGAAGACGGTGCGTGGGTGGACCAAGCCCACTCATTTGGAGACCATTCATTCCTCCCGGCCCAAAGTTGATTCTTCTTCATATCCCATCCCAAATTTTGTGGCGGCAGGCATATTCTGACAATAATTTCACATATAATTTTATACACAAAATATATATAAAGTTCAAATCTCTCGTTCCAAGTTTAGAAAAAGAAAAAAAAAAGTACCTTTGACAAATTTTTGCTCCTAAAAATAAGCTCAATTATGTCACTTTGGTTTTTAAATTCTTTTCATGGTTGATTATTCTCTTAACTTTGATTTTTATTTTGTTTTAGTCTTTGACACGGAAATTAATGAATGACTTCTGACTTTTCAATTTCACATAAGTAATCGCATACCAAACGTAGTAACTGAATTTTTATAGAAATATGTATACTGAATGTATAATATGTTTTTTTTAAAGGGTTTTTAACAACAATGAAGAAAATATTTTACATTTAATGTAATTATTTATGTAAAATCGCAGTTATAATGCCACTATCTTTATAAAATTTCAGAATTCATCGTCAATTTTCGGGTTCAGGAATAAAGCCACTAGAAACTTAAATTTCAAGAAGCAGTCTATGAAGAAAAAAGTTCGAATACCAAAGTGAGACAATGCACATTCTACACATACCAACAACACTAAAAAAAGAAACAAAAAACCAAAAAAAAAAAACAAAAAATCCTTATGGACATGCCAAAAACTTTTAGAATACCAACACTTTTACAAATGCCAAAAATATTCCTGAACGTGTTGTACCAACTACCAAGATATTGGAAGTTATCTGGTCGCATTTTACAATTAAATTTATTTAAAAGATCAATGATCACTCTTGAGTATTGATCGCATTAGTATGTAGATTCAAATCAATTTATAGTGGTTCACTTATATTGTGAGGGCTCGAGTTTCACTATATGCTTTTAATAATACAAGAACAATTGAGGATGGGAATGGAAGAGAGAGGAGGAGGGAAGAGAGTGTGTGCAGAATGTGAGGTATTTGGTCTCTATGTGATGCACAATTTGTGATCATAATCCCCTATTTATATGAGATGATCCTTAGTTTCTTCTTTTTTTTTTTTTTTTCTTTTTGCACTGATGCATTGTTGATTAGAGAATGCGTAATTTCCCTATATGTCTTCAGTTGATTTTCCCATTCTATATTTCCTGATATTCTTTGTGGTTGCTTCCTCTTTAAGTTTGATTATTAATATGATTCTTGCCTCCAATCTCATATTCGATTGACTTAGATTTTGTGGCTTCTAAGCAATCTTCTTTCTTGATTTACCTATGGTGATCTCCACAGACTCCGTGGCCTCTAAAGAATTTTCTTTTCGGTTTACGTTGTCTTTCGAGTTGATCTTCTTCCAAACAATTCTAGTTGATCTTTTCTTTAAAATGTTGTCCACGTGTATAGTGATGATCGTGGTACTAATTTTACCCCAACAATAAAAAAATGGCTACAACGATGAAGGCAGGAGCAACCACGTGAAAGTGACGAGAGAGATTATTAAAAAAAAAAGATTATTTGTCTGCAGAATCAGTTCATTGGTCTGAAGTGTGGTAGCGCATCTAATTATTTCTAAATTTTCCTCTGTCTATTATTATTATTATTATTATTATTTGGAGTTTTGGGGAAGGTCACCTCATAAAGTTAGTTACAAAATTAATCCTTAACATTTCAATGATTTGATTTTGTAAATATTTTAATTAATTAAAAAAATTATCTTTTACCTTCGAGCATTACAATCTAATCCATTAAAAAAAAAAGCTTTACAATTAGTCTTTCATACATATTTTAATTACTCATTTTTCTTTCAATATACAATATGAGATTGAATACGCGCCCTTCAAATTTAAGACTCACCCCATCTTACTTTATGTCATTTGAAATTATTTTTTTTAAGAATAAATATATTTCAATGCTTGAAAAGGCAATATAAAACACCAATTCACATCCCAGAAACCTTCTACTACAAAATAAATAAATAAATAATAGTAATAAAATAAAAAACCGATCTCAATTGTAATTTCGAATGAGACGTTCATAGGGAAATAGGTCAATCCATTTTTATTCATTTGGTTTGTTGTAAGTTTTCCGTATGAACTATTTGTTTTTTGTTTATTCAATATCAACATCTAAAAAGTATTGTTTGACCAATGAAGCTTTTGTGACGTTGTATCGAATCTCTACGGCCACTAAAATGCATGTATATCTTCTATAAAATTGAGACGCATAGAATATGGAAAATTCCACCTTTTTAATTTATGTAGTTTTCTAGGTTGATTTCAATTGACTTTTAATAAAAGAAGGGTTTGAATACGGACTTTTATTGGGAAATTTTGAATTATGGGACAAAAGAAAGTACTTTGGAGATGGAAAAATTTGACTTATACTTTGTCGTTTCAGTGCTACTGTTTTTTTTTTTAACACATCAAAGTTGCTATTAATTATATATATATATATATATATATATATATATATAAGAAGCAATGTCCTTAGTATAGGGAAAAAAAAAAAGAAAAGACAAATTTTGAAGCATAGAATTATAGGTTTCGCGGCAATGAGTCATCCATTATCAAACTTCAAAAATAATATAGAGAATTTGTGTAAAAAAAAAAGGTATAGAGATTATTATTATTGTTAATGTAATTACAGGATGCAACGTTTACATAATGTGTTTGGCTAATGAACAACTTTGTGTTTTTTAAGCCCCGAAATGGCCACTAAAGTCCTTTTGTGAAGATCAACTTTTTTATTTTTTATTTTTATTTTTTTTAAAAAGATATCAGAGAAGTACTCGCTTCAAGTAGATTTTTTATTTATTTATTATTATTACTAAAGTAGATGAAATATTCTTTTTAAGTGTTTCTATTCTTCCTTGAATAAATTGAGGATACTCGTTCAGTGATTATATGGTCAAGTACATAATGGTAAATGTGGCCTGGTCCGTTCACTTTGCTGATTTGAGTTTAAAATTTGAGTTTTTCTACAGTAAAAAGCTCTCACAAATAATCACATCTAACTTTTTTGCTACAGTAAAAAGCTTTCACATAAAGTCACATCTCAACTCGAATTCTAAACTCGAATCAACGAAGTGAACGGGGCCAACTAACATAATTTTGTGACTCGGGATTCTATCGTTTTTTATCATGAAAAAGTCCTAAATGTCCTTAAAGAAAATAAGAATAAGAATAAGAAAAAAAAAACAAAAAAAAAAGCAAAAAATTTAAAAACCTAAAGGATATTAAAAGGCTTGTTCTTTTGGAGTAAAACTCAAAAAAAATTTGAACTCAAGCTACAACTTTATTCAAGTTCATGTTCTTTTGTAAATTTTGAGTTTGAACTTTGAGTTTTAACTTGAGTTTGGAGCTAAAATCTTTAGTTCAAATTTTTCCTTTAACTCATGTTCTTAAAATCAAACTCAAGTTAATGAATAATATTTTTTCTCTTCTTAAAAACATCATAACTTTTTCATTTTAATTCCGATTGAGATGATTTTTTATGCATTCACAACGAAGAGACGAATAAAACCCCACCCATATACCCTATTAAAATTTTTCATCACCATTGAGTTTTTATTAAAATACTATCTAAATACTAATTCAAGTTTTGACCCAGCCAAACAGAAACTCAAATAGATTCTCAATTCAAATCATGACTCAAATGTGCACATTTAAACACAAACTCAAGTTACAACTTTAACTCAAAATCTACACTCAAGTTATCATAACTAAAAAATGTAACCGAACAAATCATGTATTTTGAATAGTAAAAGTAAACTTTTGATCGAAGAAAAAGTTTGGATTTAGTATGAAATTGAAATATGAAGATATAAAAAAATAAAATAAAAAACTATTATTAATAATATTGTAGAAATTGCAAGAGATATTTTAGAGCTAGGTGGTGGACAGAATGTGAATGAATATGGTGAAAGTCAGCATCAGCTGAGTCCTACTCCTACATATCCGCGTGGGATGCCGTAACGCCACAAATTTCACCGTATTCCTTGGTTGGACAAGCTTGTCTTTTTGCATTAATTACTTGTTACGATTTCTTTATTGGTTATTATTTTGAATCGTGGAAAAAAGCATGCATAGATTTCGGCTTACGTAAACTAATTCTTCACTCTAATTTTGCGATAAATTATTGGATTCACCCTTTCAATAATTTAAGACCAACCCCCCAACTCTCTTCCATCACTTTCTCTTTCCATCTCTATCTTTATTCAAAAGTAAATCATTACATACTTAATGGATTATTATCTATCTTTCAGACGCCATTTGTAAGTATATGTATTGTGACTTTATCTTTATCCTTTTTTACAAGGATTATTGGCTTTATCTTTCCTTACGCGACTTATTTAGTAGTAAATTCCTATTAACTATGTAAGATTAAATTGTTCATTCAAAGAAGTTATGATTATTTATCTTTTATTTATTTATTTATTTGTTCTAAAACGTACAAATGTCATCAACCCGGCCGCTAAAGTAGGAGCTAGAAACTTTTTTTCAGTGGGGTATAAAATTAAACAAAACTTTAGACGGAGTAAAAACACTTGAGCATCATTGAAATTTTAAGAAAAACCGGACAAGGTTTCAGAAATTCCGTAAACTTTTGTAACTTCTGTTTTGTAATATGACTCTCTTTTGCAAAGGATTTTGTAATATAGCTTGTCGATAGATGAAACACATCTTATTTGAATTCTCATCTCTAATACATTATAATCAATCAATCACCATCAATCACTGTCAAAAACATCTTTCTTATTTGACCTTTATTATGTTATTTTTCTATAAGCATACTCATACCAGCCAATTTCCATTATCTCATGCAAAGTATTGCTAATTGATTTCTCAAATTTCACCTCTAATGAAAAAAAAAAAAATGAAAAGTTTTATCAAGCAAAGCGGCTAAATGCCACTATCTCTACTTTATATGGGTTTTTTTTTTTTTTTTTTTTTTTTTTACCTTTTTCTCTTTTGGGTAATTTCATGTCGTTAATTTGCTTAAAGTAAGGTATTGGATTTATGTTATTTTAGACCAATGCCCCTTTTAAGCTGCCGACTCTAATGAGTTTGAATAAACACGTGTAATATTTAAACAAAAATGATATCAAAGTTGAAATGTCCAACACATTTTCTTAGCTGAAAAGGAAAGTCCAACATATTTGACTATTACAATAATAAACTATTCATGACTCGCATAAGGGTAATAGAAAATATCGAAAACAAAGGGTGAAATTAGGTAGCCAAAGATGGTGGGAAAGCACCAAAAGCACTATACACGATAGAAAAAAAAAAAACCAAGGTTGGCTAAGTTAGCAAGTGGGGTCTTTATTGCCTTTTTCAAAACCCAAAGAGTAAAAGAGACAATTACAGCTGATTAATACTGTTTAGTCAAAAAATTATATTAGTTAAAATAATATTAATGAAAAATAAAAGATAAATATTTTTAAATAATACAATCAAAAAGTGAATTCACAGTAATTTTCTGAAACCCAAATTACAAGTTGCTAGCACTAAAATTAGGGAAATAATTGCAAATAGTCCTTTATATATTGTTCTTTTTCCATTTTTATATATGTATTTTGAGATCTAAAAGCCACACTTTTATATCTCACATTTTAAACTCATGTTAAATCCTTACATTTTTGGTCAAACATTGATTTTTGACTATGAAATTGACCTAAATGTCCTTCATATTATTTTTATTTTTATTTTTCTTAATTCTTTTTTATTTAAGGGATTTTAGGTCTTTTTTATGGTTAAAATTTATCATTGACCGAGAAAATGTACAAAATGATCATAAACTGAAGATCTGAATGCATATATGTGACACAGTTGAATTCTAAACTCGAATCAACGAAACGAACGAGGATGTATGATCTTTTAATAATCTCAAAATGAAGGGTATAATTTGAAAAGAAACCTTTTAAATTTTTAATGTAATAAATAAACTATTTATTATATTTGTAGCAAATCATCAATTTGATTTCAAAAGAATGTTTGTAAGAGTTAAAAAATGAGTTTATTAGCTAAAAAATTAGTAAATAATATGTAAATAAAAAACGAGTATATTTTAAATAAATAATGTTTAAAATATATTTAATTTGGGGTTCTGTGATGATAAATCTGGTAAATTTTAGATAACCACACTTGGTCATGGGGTAAATTATGTAAGTTTCAGACTTATTGAATTTGATCATGACATCAATACCAGAAAATTCTAAATTTATCAAATTTGGTTATGGGGATTCAAAGAAATCCAACCAGTGACAGTCACCCGAAAAATCAGACAATTTATTTTCATTCCCTTTAAAATGATTATTTACCTCATTCACTCCAATAATAATAATAATAATATCTCGTCAATAATCAAAAGTTTTTGATAAATATTGTCTATTTTGATTTTTTTTTATGTCAGTGTCAAATTAGATTATTTCTGAGATAATTACCAAAAATTATTAGTATACGTGATGGTAAATATAAGTGTATTTTGTTGGTAATTGTAAAAATAATTTGTGATGATTACTATAATAACACAAAAGAATAATTAAAAAAGATAATAATAAAATACATTTTTGGACTGCAATAAAAACGTAAATATATAAATGATAAATAACAACTTGTTTTCCCACCTCTTGTGGACCCTTCAATACAAATCCATTTCACTTCCCCATTTTACCCTCAACCCCTTGAGAGTTGACATATTTAATCCTAGTTATCCAATTTCCCCAACCCAAGTTTAAAAGCCCACTTATCTTGACCAAAAGTCAAACATGATTTGCCTCCCAAAACAAAAAGTCAAAAACATAAATTTAACTTACCCCCAATAAAAATCCGCCACGTCATCCAAACCTAGCTGGATTGGACCCCACTTGATCACTACCTCGCCCATAGAAATTTTATTGCCACAAGAAAAGGAAAAGAAAACCCTAATTCACCGCTTTCTTTAACACCCATATCTTACTCAACTGCCACCTTCCAATACCCAAAACTTGCAAACACATTTTTTTCACCTTCTTTACCCGCCCAGTTACTCCCCAAGCGGTGACGGTTAAAATTTTCTTTCTGGGTCTCGCCCATATGCTGGAAAATCCAACTTTCCCGGAAAATCTCCCGGAAAATGGAGGTGGGTCGGTCCCGGTTGGGGTGGAGGAGGAGGAGAGAGTGAGAGGTGAAGAGGGTGACCGGAGCTGGCTAGGTAACCGGTGGCCGAGGCAAGAAACTTTGGCTTTGTTGGAGATAAGGTCTGATATGGACTCCAAGTTCAGAGACTCAAGCGTCAAAGCTCCTCTTTGGGAAGATATTTCCAGGTGAATTTCTATCTTTATTCTCTTTGTTTGATGTTATTGTTTTTTTCCCGGGAAAGTTGCCCAGCAAGTGATGGAAAGTTGCTTGCTTTTTATTTGTTTGTGTGCCCAGAAGAGGAAATCCTTTTTTTTTTTTTTTGGTTTTATTTTTGTTTGCTTTCATATCATTTGCATTTAAATTGAATTACTTGAACTAGTTGTGGTTAAATGGGTGTTAGTGTTAGAAGAGAGAAGCAAAATTGTTTAATTGATTTGGTGATTTTGAAGTGGTGAAAAATGGATTTTCTTTTTGGGGTTTGTTTGTTAGGAAAATGGGAGAGCTTGGATACAATAGAAGTGCCAAGAAATGCAAGGAGAAGTTTGAGAATATTTACAAGTACCATAAAAGGACTAGAGATGGCCGGTCCGGGAGGGCTAATGGCAAGAATTATCGGTTTTTCGAGCAATTAGAGGCTCTGGATCACCACTCATTTGATCCTCCTTCCATGGAGGAAACAAGACCAACCACTATCCCTCCAAATAATGTTGTTCTAAATGCTATCCCATGTTCTGTCCACAAACCCGTGGAGGCGAATTTTGACGAGAATTCATCATCTAGCACGTCATCTTCGGGAGAGGAATCTGAAGGTGCACGCAAGAAGAAGAGGAAATTGACGCGGTTTTTCGAGAGGTTGATGAAGGAGGTGATGGAGAGACAGGAGAGTTTGCAAAGGAAGTTCATAGAGACATTGGAGAAGTGTGAACAGGATCGGATAGCGAGGGAAGAGGCATGGAAGGCGCAAGAGTTGGAGAGACTTAAGAGAGAGAGTGAGCTGCTGGTTCACGAAAGAGCTATAGCAGCTGCAAAGGATGCTGCTGTGCTTGCATTTCTAAAGAAATTCTCGGAGCAATCTGATCAAGTCCAGTTCCCCGAGAACCCCATCGCGAGTTTTCAGAAAGATGGTGATAAACAGGAGAAGAGTCAAGGTGGAAACCTTGAGCAGGTTTCCTTGGAGAGTCAAGAGAAGGGTAGTAACCATAGGAACTTTTCGCAGATGAGCTCATCCAGGTGGCCAAAAGACGAAGTTGATGCTTTGATTAGGCTGAGGACTAATCTTGACGTGCAATATCAAGATAACGGACCTAAAGGACCTTTATGGGAGGACATTTCCGCGGCCATGAGAAAGATCGGTTACGACCGGAGCTCGAAGAGGTGTAAAGAGAAGTGGGAGAACATAAACAAGTACTTCAAGAGGGTAAAAGACAGCAATAAGAAAAGGGTTGAGGATTCGAAAACATGTCCTTATTTCTACCAGCTTGATGCCTTGTACAATAAGAAGACAAAGAAGGCTAATGATTCAGTTAATTCTGGCTATGATTTGCGGCCCGAGGAACTTTTAATGCATATGATGGGAAGCCAAGAAGAGCAACAACAACGACAACTTGAGTCAGTTACTGATCAAGATGGTGAAGAAAGCAATGACAAGGTTGATGGGGATGGTTATCAGACTAATACAGCTGATAATAATCCTTCTCAAATGACTGTAGATAATCCTCCTTCCATGGAAACTATGGGCTAAGGATGGGACAAATGACAGGCAAGTATTTATGTCTAATTTTAGGATTAGGCATGGTTTTTAATTTGGTTTATGGTCTTGGGATTTTTTTTTTTGGCAGAAAATAGTGGTAAACAATGGGCTTTTTCTATTTCTATGTGTATATGGTCATTATTTGTTGAATATGTCTCAAAAGAGGAGAGATAGAGAGAGAGAGAGAGAATAAGGAGGCTTGGTATTGTGTACTTAAAATAGTGCAAGCCTCTCCCCCATGTGTGCAAAAGTTGGGAATGGTTGTTTGCTTTTGTTTTGTAATCAATAAAAAAATTGAGAGTCAGTGATTATGCTGCAATTGAAAGTTGTATTATATCTTTGGCAAATAAAAGTAGTAATTATGTCACCCGTGGGCTAGTAATAGCGGATTCCTTGAAAAAGGTGATCAAATCATACTATTAATTTGCCCCTTTGACGTTAGTGTCACTATCCTTGTTCAATTCACTCGTTTCTCTTTTTCATTCACTATTGTGTTTTCAGTAACAATCTTTCCTTGGCATTTCCCATTGCACTGTAATTGAATGTTTAACTTAAAAGCTAGAAGTACTTTAGGAGCCAAGATTATATAATAGCATAATATGAAAGGAGATACTACAGTGAGTGCTGACAGATAGTGCATTTTGCTTGGACAAATTTTTTAAAATTTTATTTAACTTTATTTGAGTTCATAAGTCAGATGAACTTTACTTTTGTCTCCTGATCTTTGAAATGAGGTCTGAACTCCCCCTAATCTTATAAATTTTTTCAAAAATAGTCCTTCCGTTAGATTCCGTTGATGAATTCAACAGAAATACGGATGTGGATGCAATTTGAGTGCAAATTAGAGGACGTTAGTTTTATCAATTTAGAAACATATGAACAAGAATTTGCAACATTGAGAGCTTGGTGAGCTGGTAGCCTCGTACGCCTACTCGCCCCCGTGCATAAGTCGTGTTTGGGTCGGGACAACTACGGTGATCGGAGTATAGAAACAATCTACTTCAAGAGGAATTCATATGCCACACAGGAAGGCAATGTCGTGCCTTCCTGAAGAAGTTATCTGGGTACACCAGCCTCTTTCCTTAGAACTTAAATTTCTAAATGCTAACATCACATCTCAGGGTAGTTGTAATTATAAATATTATTTTTTTATAGAGAGTAGCAAGGAATATTGGTCATATTATATTGGTGGTAAATACTGGAGTAAGATAATGACACTAGATTCTACTTTTGCGTAGCCACTAGCCAAAAGGAAACGAAAGAAGTTCCTATAATTGACAGTCCACTTAATCTTTTTGCCGTGTAAGAAAACCACTACAAGCTGGTGATGTCATAGTCCCTAGTTTTTAGACTTTTATGGTTCAAATTGATTTATAATACGAAACTTATAGTCAGATGTGGGAATGGATAATTATAAGAAAAAATGCTATTTATTTTTAGGGGAGGCATCGAAAAATTTTTGTTTTCAACCGTCAGATATACAACAGAAATTGTATGTTTTTTATAATTTTTTAATCTGATTTGATTTTAACTGAATCTAATACAACTAATCCTAATCCTACTAATAAGAAGGTTTTATTTAAGAAAAAACATTTTTGTTAATGCAATTATGACACACACACATATATATATATATATATCAATTGTGTAAAATTACTGTATAGTAGTGTGGGATTCAATAATTTCTTAATTTCGTGCAACAATTCTATTCATCTGCCACAACCTACATATGTGTATCATGTATTGCCAATGATTGTAAAAAACAGTGCTAGTGCTCCATTTATAAATGTTAGTTTGTAGTTCTCTGTGTTCTTCTATATTGTATGTGAACGCAATAATGCAATTCAGTGGGTCCACAAGCTTTGGTTGCGGCAAATGTGGTTTATAAATGTAGTTCTATATTATATGTGAACGCTACATTTATAAATGTGGTTTGTAGTTATCTGCGATCGATGATTGATTTATTCATTTCTTTCTTTTTTTAAGCCGAGTCAAATGTTTGAAAATAACTCGTTCGTTTCGCTGATTCGAGTTTAGAATTTGAGTTGAGATGTGATTTTATGTGAGAGTTTTTTACTGTAGCAAAAAAGTTAAATGTGACTGTTTGTGAGAGTTTTTTACTGTAACAAAACTTGAATTCTAAACTCGAATTAATGAAACGAACGAGGCCTTGGTTAATTCACCCTAATGCTTATCTTATTGCTGCATAGAGAGCTTTTTTATTTTTTTTTCTTTCCTGATAGAACTTGTTTGGTTCATTAATTCAGATTGGATTTTTGAGTTCGAGTGGTAAATCAAGTTCAAAATCATGTTTTATAAGCACCTAATCCAGATTTTGTTTTCAAATATTGTTCAACTCAAAAGTTTAGTCTTTACGCTCCATTTTACATTTTTAAATCATTTTTAAATAGTAAAAACATGTCCATTCTCTATACCCTCCACACCTATCTAAACACAAATTTAATTTTTATTTCCAATTTAAATTTACACTTTAATTACACATCCAAACGCAAACTCGGTTGCAATTTAAACCAAAGTTGAATTTTCTGATGCAAACAAAATGGTTCAATCAAACATCATTCGTACTAGCAAATATGCTAGTAAATATACTGATAGTCAGCCCACTTCCACTCCGTAAATATATTATTTACTTCAATCATTTAAAAAATATGTATTTACTAAAAAAAAACGTTTAAAAAAATAAACTAAAAATATATTCAATTTGCTAGAGATAATGTTCAAGCGACATTTCAAATTCAAACTAAATTAGCAAACCAAACACACTGGGTTTCCTAATATTTAGCAAATTCTCGGCAGATCTTATACAATTTAACTGGTTGTAATCTGTTGTACATATCCTCTAGGTTTTTTTTTACGTTCTTAGATGATAAAATTAATTAAACACAAATTGCATAAAAAACATTCTCTAAAATCGTTTCAATGAAAGAATGATTCAGGCCCCATTCATTTCACTGATTTGAGTTTAGAATTCGAATTTTATTACAGTAAAAAGCTCTAAAAAACAGTCACATTTAACTTTTTTGTTAAAAAAAAAACTCACATAAAGTCACATATCAACTCAAATTAGTGAACTAAACATGCCCTCAATCACCTATTGTTTTTTGTTATGGTATCAGAGCAGATCTAACTAAAACTTGTCTTAATATATATATAATATATATTTATTTGTCATCCTTGGTTAGCAATGACTTTTGACTTTGTAGATAGTCTGTTTATTTTCGCTCAATTTACTTCAATTATTTAAAAAATATGTATTTACTTAAAAGAAAGTTTCAAAAATAAACTAAAAAAAGATGGACTCAGTTAGAGATATTATTCACGCAACATTTCAATTTAAAACAGATTTGCAAATCAAGCACAATAACAGGTTTCCTAATATTTAATATATTCTTGACAAATTTTATGAAATCGTATTTTTGAATTTAACTGGTTGTAATATGTTGTACATATCCTTTATTTTTATTTTTTGTTTTCTTCATTTATGTTCTTAAATGATCAAATTAATTAAACTTAAATTGTATAAAAAACATCCTCTGTGATAGTTTCCAACCAATTAAAGAATGTAATCACCTATTGATTTGTGTTGTGTTATCAGAACTTTCACTCTAACGAGAATTTAACCTAGAGTTCTTTTTTACCTTCTCATCCTTCCTTAACAATGAATTTTGACTTCTACTTCTCAATATACTATTTATTTCAATCGTTAAAAAAATATATATGAATTTACTTTAAAAAAGCAAATAAAAAAAAAAGCTAAAAAGTGTACTCAATTAGAAAATAGATTTAAAATTGAAAATAGATTTACAAATCAAGCACAACAACAGGTTTCCTAATATTTAGCATATTCTCGACAGATTTTATGCAATTATATTTTTGAGTTTAACTGGTTGTAATATGTTGTACATAACCTCTACTCTTTTGTTTCATTCTTTTACGTTCTTAGATGATAGAATTAGGCCCCGTTCACTTTATCGATTTGAGTTTAGAATTTAAGTTTTGCTACAGTAAAAAGCTCTCAGAAACAGTCACATCTAACTTTTTGCTACAGTAAAAAGTTCTCACATAAAATCACATCTCAACTCGAATTAAAAATTCAAATCAGCGAACTAAACGGGCCCTTAGTTAAACACAAATCGTATAAAAAACATCCTCTATAATCATTTCAAATCAATGACGAATGATTCAATCATTTATGAGACGTTTGGTTCATAAATTAGAATCATTTTCGATTTACGTGTATTATTTATGAGAGAAAATACTGTAACGAACCATGAACTATGATTCAAATCATGGTTTGAATCATCAAACCAAACATCCCTTGTATTATGGCATCAGAGCTTTCATTCTAACGAGAAGATATCCTAGTATTTTTTTTCCTTCCTTCTTAGCATTGAGTTTTTAACTCTGTTAATAGCTAACCCACTTCGAACTTAAATATGTTACTTAGTTTGCTCGTTTAAAAAGTACGTAGTTACTTTATAATTTTTTTAAAAATAAATTGAAAAGAAGCGGACTCAGTTCAAGATAGATTTGCAAATCAAGCACAAAACATGATCCCTAATATTTAGCATATTCTCGGAAAAATTTATGTAATTGTATTTTTGAGTTTAATTGGTTGTAATATGTTGTATATATCCTCTAGTTTTTTGTTTCCTTATTTTACATTCTTAGATGATAAGATTAGTTAAACACAAATTACCTAAAAAGCATCCTCCAAATCGTTTTCCATCAATGAAAAAAGTAATTCTGTCACCTATTGATTTGTTATGGTATTAGAGCTCTAACTTTAACGAGAAATTATTTTAGTGTGGGGCCCGTTCAGTTCGTTGATTCGAGTTTTTAATTCGAGTTGAGATGTGACTGTATGTGAGAGTTTTTTACTGTAACAAAACTCGAATCGGCAAAATAAACGGGACCTTAATTTTCTCTCATTCTTCTTTCGCAATGGCTTTTGACTCTCCTGATAGCCCATCCACATCCGCTCTGTAAATATGCTATTAACTTCAATCGTTTAAAAAATATGCATTTACTTTAAAAAGTTTCAAAAATAAACTAAAAACATATGGAGTTTGTTAGAGATATGTTCATGCTACATTTTAAATTCAAAATCGATTCGCAAATCAAGCACAACAACAGGTTCCTTAATATTTAGCATTTTCTTGGCAAATTTTATGCAATCATATTTTTGAGTTTAACTGATTGTAATTTGTTGTACATAACTTCTACTTTTTTTTTATTTTTTATTTTATTTTTTACATTCTTAGATAATAGGATCAGTTAAACACAAATCATACAAAAAGCATCCTCTGTAATCATTTCCAATCAATGAAGAATGATTCAACACCTATTGATTTGTGTTACGGTGTACCAACTTTCACTCTAACGAGAACTTATTCAGGTGTTTTCTTTAATCTTCTCTCATTCTTTTTTAGCAATGACTTTTGACTCTTCGTAAATACTTAAAAAAACATATCAAAAATAAGCTAAGAAAAGTGGATTCTGTTAGAGATAATTATCCCACGACATTTCAAATACAAAGTAGATTTGGAAAGCAGGCACAACAACGGGTTCCTTAATATTTAGCATATTCTCGACAGATTTTACGCAATCAATATTTTTGAATTTAATTGATTGTAATCTGTTGTATATATTAGTTTTCTGTATCCTTCTTTTATGTTCTTAGATGATAAGATAGTTAAACACAAACAGTGTAAAAAGTATATTAGTTTTAGAAATCATGTCCAACTAGTTACCATTAATGCTGCCACTCAATAAGCTCTCAAATTAACCTTACTCAATTATGGGAGAAAGAGTGAAATAGGCCAAGACTTGAGATGAATTAAAATTAATAGGCCAATAGTTTACATAAGTTAATAAATATGTCAAATTACTGTTTTCGTCCATAACTTGTCTGGTTATGAACCATAACTTGACAAGTTATTGTCCATAACTTATCTGGTTATGAACCATAACTTGACAAGTTTATCCATAACTTATCTGGTTATGAACCATAACTTAACAAGTTTGTTAATAATTTATCTGATTATGAACCATAACTTGACAAGTTATGGTCTATTAATTTCTATAACTAAAAAATAATCTATATACTTTCTTAAGCTTTTCATATTGGCCTATTTCCTACTATTTTCCCTCAATTATTTATCATAGAAGGCCCAATTTCATTCTCTCGTTTTGGCTGCTACTTAGTATCGGCAATGAGTCTGAAAAAGTATTTAAAAATAACAAATTTAGATGGTTATATCATATCGTAATAAGAAATCATGACATATATATTTGAAATATATTTCATTTTAAGAGAATTGAAAAATACTATCTCATTAAAAAGTTCTATACATCTCCCCTAAAAACACAAACTGTTGTTGGTCTACGTATCACCAATGAATGCTACACTTTTTGGCGGATCATCTTATCTTATGTGCAGTTTTATCATCCCTATTTGAGTCTGTTATTCCTCTTGTCTTTTTCACTAAGATGACATTTGTTCATAAATTTCACTTTTTGGCGGATCATCTTATCTTATGTGCAGTTTTATCATCCCTATTCGAGTCTGTTATTCCTCTTGTCTCTTTCACTAAGATGACATTTGTTCATAAATTTAAAATTATGATTTATGATTCTAATTTTTAAAATTTAAATTTTTTATAAGAGAAAAATATTGTAATAAAACTAAAATATATAATCTTAAACTGGATAAATCTCTTAAAATAAACGTCACCAAAATCTAGTGGAAAAGCCTAAACTCGTCTATAGAAAAAGATCTCACTCTCACATTATCCATCTAGAAGACAAATTAACCATGGTAACTTGTGGTTCAATTTATGTTTCTGATTTTTTGCTCTCCATCAAGGCTATTTGCTGATGAACTCACCACACCCTTGGCGCGATCAGCATACAAAAAAGTTATTGCAGCCTTTTGTAGAACTTTATGACAAACTGGTCAACTATGAAACCTTTCTCCTTCGACGCTAAAAAACAAACTCCTGAACATAATCTTCCCACCACAAATTTAGCCAAAACCAACCCCTCAAACTTTACTTCTCGGCCACAAAAGAAAGACAAATTCTCTCCTGCCCCTAGCGTTTTACCCAATCCTTCTACCAACAACGACGTCTTAAAATCTCTGTTCAGTTCACGAATTTAAGTTTTTAATTTAAATTAAGATGTGATTTTATATAAAAATTTTTCACTGTAATAGAAAAATTAATATAACTTTTTATAAGAGTTTTTAACAGTAAAAAAATTAAAATTAAAAATTTAAATTGATAAAATGTATGAGGCTTCAATCTTTCAATCAATATCTCATTTTTTATCAACTCTGACTTTTACATTGTGCGTGAAAAAAATAAATAAATAAATACTAATAACGTTTAACATCACACAGTAATAAAAAGAGATTCCACAGCATAAAACTGGAGTGCAACTCCTTAATTGTGCTACTCCAGAGCATGTTTTATTAAAAAATAATAATAAAAAATATTTGAAAATACTACTAGTGTTACCGGTGTCGAGCATGTCTGCGAATAAAAATGTGAAAAAATAGTAGAAAATAGACCAATATGAAAAACTTAAAAAAGTATATAAATCAATTTTTAGTTATAGAAATTAATAGGCCATACTTTGTCAAGTTATAGTTCATAATCAGATAAATTATGGATAAACTTGTCAAGTTATGGTTCATAGCCAGACAAGTTATAGATAAAAATCGTGAATTATAGACAATAACTTGTCAAGTTATGGTTCATAACCGGACAAGTTATGAACAAAAATAGTATTTTAACTTATTTATTAACTTATATAAACTATTAACCTATTAATTTTAATTTATCTCAAATCTTAATCAATTTCTTTCTTTCTCCCTAAAATGCGGCCCACGCTTTAGCATTGTTCTAAAAATGGTTGAGTTGTGATACTAACGGGCATAGGATATCCCTCATTCCACCTAAATCACCACCGTCGAAACACCCTGTAAAGATTACACAAACCCATCGAGATCCGAGCCAAAAACTCTTCATTCCTTCCTACCTTTTAAAAACCTCTCTCTCTCTCTCTTGAAAGACAGTCAAAGATTTACTAAAACCACTGTAAAAAAACTGCAACACCAAAGCAGCTCATCAATGGCGGATCAGTACGAAACCCATCGCCATAATCAACCAACAATCCCAAAGGAGACGGCCCTTCAAGCCCTCAACACCATAATCCAACTCCACTTCGAGAAAACTCTCGAGAAGAAGCGCTCCATCGACCTCCAAAAGAAAGAGCTCCACAAGCTCTTCCAGCTCTTCTTCATCTTCTTGGGCCTCGTCTTCCTGGCACAGGCCCAGCCCAACGGCCGCCTCCAGTGCCGCCACTGCTGGGTCCCCATCCTCCTTCTCTCCCTGGCCCACCTCATCTTCTACGTCTCAGTTGCACAGACCCTCCGATGCATTAACGGCTTCAAGTATCAACGGCGCTGCCACAAGCTTACTCTGGGACTGGCCACAGAGAAGCTGAGGGAGATCAAGATGAGGATGAGTAGTGCTGCTGGAGGTGGGGACCACTTTGATGGGGGTGAGGATAGTTTTGAGATTCATTATCAGGAACCTCCTGAGAGTTATTTTGGTAAGTTTAAGAGGAACTGGGCTTTGCATTTTGGATTCTTGATCTTGATCTACACTTTTATGGTTTCTTCTTCCGTTGTTCTTCTTTGTTTTTAGTTCTTTTTTTTTTTTAGAGAGTAATTAGATGGAAATTAGTCATTTATTGTTGTTGGGTTGATTTTGATTTTGGGGTGTGAAATGAATTTTTTTTTGGCGTTGTTTTTCTCTTAATTCCTCAATCACAAATGTGCACAAATGCCTAGTTTTAGTCCTTTTAGAGTTAGAGATTAGAGATTAGATGGGCATTTAGGTTTGTATGGTTGTGAATTATTGTAGTTGATTTTTCTTAATGAAATATTGTAGTTGAATGTTGATTTGTGAATTATTCTTCTTGTTTTTATCTATTTCTCTCTTGATCAAGCACAAAAATGGGAAAAAAGGTGAATTTGGAAGAGGTGAGGGGTCAACATAATTAACTTTTGTGTTTCATGACAAATTTTGTCTTAGAAATGTCAATTTTGAATGTTGGAGGAAAAAAGTGGTGTTAGATTATGTATGGTGACAGAAAGAGGGTACTTTTAACTTTTCATGGAAAACGTTTTTTCTTTCTTTAAAGTTTAGGAGCTTTTTTGCCTTCTTTTGTTGCCATTCGATGGAAAACACAAACATATTTTTAACAAAATTAGATTGCAATGTCCACTAATAGGCGATAAAAAGTTAAAACTACAGTTATGACTAAATGCTGGGTTTTGAATTTTGAAAGAACCATAAACAGTTGGTATTTATTGTTGGCTTCTCTACCTCCCAAGGATTTTATGGAGGGAATTGATTAGTAGGGTGAAAATATTATCTTTTTCTACTACTACTCAACTGTTGTGGACCGTTGGATCTTACCATTCTCCTTAAAATGGTTATAATTTTGATTTAATTTGACAGTCTACCACTGTATTATACCGTAATAACAGGAATTATTACCTACCGTAAAAATCTCCCCTTTTACTATAGAACCAAATAGTCTTGGAGAAGATTTTAATTGAAAAAAAAAATACAACAATGAAATATATTCATTAAAAGCCATTAAAGAGTAGAATACAAGACAATACTAAAATTAAAGAAACAAGCGATTAGATAATACAAATGTACTCTTGTCACAGAAACAGAGAGAACTCTTTTACAAAGTGGTACTAAAACAACATTCCGAGCCACATTCTAGTCTAACAATGAACTCAAATCACACAACTCAGTTTTAAAGCAGCGGGGAAACCACGTTTTATTTGAGAAATACACCACCGACATAAAATGGTGAAGAGACCACTGCCTCCAAGTGAGACAAAACGTCAGTACATGAGGAAATCATCACTGTTACAACACAACCACAAACAAAAATTAAAAACTAAAAATAACAAGTCATTATCATAATGCCTAGGTTTGAGACGTGGGGTTAATCCAGTTTACCACCTGCACAACTTTCTAATGACGATGACCGGCTACTTCAACTAATTAGGGCTGAAAGTGACCCAGGGGCCAGAAATGGGGTTCATCCAAGTTTACCACCTGCACAACTTTCTAATGACGATGACCGGCTACTTCAACTAATTAGGGCCGAAAGTGACCCAGGGGCCAGGAATGGGAACTGGCCTGTGGTCCCTTGTTCACCGTTTGCTGTGAAGTTTGAGGGGCCTGTTCTTTTGTCCCTTTTGAGTTAGGTAACCTGAGTGTGAATTTTGAGTTGAATTTGAGTTATAACTTGAGTTGAAATTGTAATTTGAGTTTGTGTTTGGTTGTGTAAATTTGAGTTATTGTTTGAGATAAGAATCTTTTTGAGTTTGTGTTTGAGTGAGTCAACACTTGAATTTGTATTTAGATAGTATTTTAATAAAAACTCAATGCTAATAGAAAATTTTAATAGGGTATATGAATGGGGTTTTATTCGTCTTTTCGTTGTCAACGCATAGAAAAAAAATCATCTCAATCAGAATTAAAACGAAAAAGTTATAGCATTTTTAAGAATAGAAAAAATACTGTTCATTAATTTGAGTTCGAGTTTCTGAACTCGAGTTGAAGGAAAAACTTGAACTCGAGTTTTAGTCCCAAACTCGAGTTCAAACTTAAAAGAACATGAATTTGAATAAAGTTGTAACTCTGAGTTGCATTTTTTTTGAGTTTTTGACTCAAAAATAGGCTGCTAAACCGAAATTCGTGTGCTTTTAATGGTTTTATAAGATAATTTGTTTAATACTTTGAACTATTAGCATTATTAGGATCTGGTCTCTATTGATTTTAAACATAATAATCTCAAAGGGCTCTCTCTCTCTCTCTCCCTCTCTCCCTCTCTTATATTTAACAAAAGCGGTAACATTGCTATTGTAAATCCTCATAGATCATTATTGAGTGTAGTGGCCTAAAAGTACAGTGTAGATTTGAAGTCACAAGTTCGGGTGTTTGGTTACCCTTTCGGAGTATTAAATGTAAATGTTTAGGGTTGTTCTTTTGTAACGCAATTCAGAAAAAGTTTAAATTCGAGTTATAATTTTATTTAAGTTCATGTTTTTTTATAAAATTTGAGTTTGAACTCGAATTTAGGACTAAACTCGAGTTCAAGTTTTCCCTTCAACTTGAGTTCAAAAACTCAAACTCAAGTTAATGAACAATATTTTTTCTATTCTTAAAAATATAATAACTTTTTCATTTTAATTCGGATTGAGATGATTTTTTTTCTATGCATTCACAATGAAAAGACGAATAAAACCATACCCATATACCCTATTAAATTTTTTCATCACCATTGAATTTTTATTAAAATATTATTTTAATACAAATTTAAGTTTTGACCCACTCAAACATAAATTTAAAAAGATTATCAATTTAAATCATAACTCATATGTGCATATTCAAACACAAACTAAAATTATAATTTCAACTCAAGTTTAAATTAAGATCATCACTCAAATCATCCTAACTCAAAAATACAAATAAACAACCGCTTTATTTCCTTAAGTCTACTCGATTAAAGGAGTCTGGGTCACACCCTATGTACTCTTATCATTACATTCAGTAGGATTAGAGTGATGTACTTCTTGTCCCTCTCTGATAATACTTATGAGGGTATGCTAACGCTAATTATCTCGCCTCAGGCTTCACGGAACAAAAAGACCTTGTAAAGGAAATTGTATCTAACACTCCATTTAGTAGGAGGAAAAAAAAAGAAAATGAAAAGAAAATACATAAAAAAAAGAAAATGTGAAGAAAAAGAATAAAGTTGATTTTCCGTATTTAGTATGATGAGAGGAAAGAAAATATGTAATAGCCTAAATGACTATTTTATTAATTGTTTAATATTAATTTAGATTTTAAAATAAAAACATAAAGGTAATTTTAGCCATCAACGAGTGGATTTGAGTTTCCTCAAAATGTTGGAGAGATAAAAAATGGTGTGCCTAATATAACTTTTATCTATCATATTTTCCTTTCTCTCATCTTTTTTTTTTTTTTTTTTACCAAACAATTAATTCTATCATTTTCTATACAATAATCCCTCTACCCACTTCCTTATGTCTATACTAGCCTTTATGTGTGTAATATTACACATGACATAGACAACAATAACAATAGAAACTATTTAGGTCAATATCCCTTGAGCCACAATTTGGTCTAATTAAGTTTGGAGAATATTTTGGCATGTGTAGCGTTAAATAATCAACAAAGCTTTGGCCCAAGGAGGTGTCACCATAAATTGTTTTAATCAATGAGTCTTGAAGAGAATTCACCACCACATTTCGACGCAAGTACAGGAGGAATGTGATAAACTCACATATCAGATCCTCTCGTAGAATTCCTATATTGAGCTTGAAAAATTATTTAAAATTTAAGAATTTTCGTAGTAAGAAGCATTTATTGATAATGAATTTTCTAATATCCAATTAAAGAAAAAAAATTGATAAAGAAAACAAATGGTTTAAAGGGAATTTTCTAATATCCAATTAAAGAAAAGAAATTGATAAACAAAAACAAAAATGCTTCAAAGGCAATATAACAAAAATACTATGATGTAGAAATATTAGTCAAAATAAAATAAGATCCTTTGCATACCTCAACATAAGAGTCCCTTATTATTACTTTCTTCCTTCTCATCTCTAAACAGTAAACATCAGCTAGTTTATCTACGGGATTTTTTTTTAATTGCCAAAGAGAAAAAGAACTGCCACACCATTAATATAATAAATTCAAAATCACGATTTAGATTCTTAAAATTGTTTTAACGAATAATGTATAAGCAGTTGGTTAAGAATCTTTACTGTTCTTTTTACTTACGATTAGATTCAAATTAATTTCAAGTTTAACTCTCGATAAATGTTCGTTGTCTGTAACATAATTGTTAAAAAAATAGACAGAATGAACACGTGGGACGCATGTGATGCTTTAAAATTGTTGTTCCGGCAGGCATTCTTCCACATTTTGGCGGGGAAAGAAGAATGCAATTTGAGGGGCCGTTCGGTTTGTTAATTCGAGTTTTTAATTCAAGTTGAGATGTGATGTTGTGTGAGAGTTTTTTATTGTAGTAAAAAAATTAGATGTGACTGTTTCTGAGAGCTTTTTACTGTAGCAAAACTCAAATTTTAAACTCAAATCAGCGAAAAAAACGAGAAATCCGATAATTTAGGCATCATGGGCATTATCAAGATTAGATACGGATTCCATTTCATGCACCTGTGAGTTATACCAAAAAGTGAAGATATTTTATGGCAGATGATTACGATAACCATTCTTGCAGTATTGAAGCACCTTGAGAAGAAGAGCATTACTAGTTCCCCTACAGATTTCCAGTTCAAGCGTGTCCAAGCGGTCATCTTCCACTAGTATGCGTGTCTTGCCAGATACGCTATTCTTATTTTTCTGTCTTAGCTATTTCACCACTATTTATCTTTTATGTTATTTAAATTTAATACTCTGACCATATAAATATGAATTAAATACTGAAAATACTTAAATAAATCGTAAAATGTTAAAATTTAATTAGAAGAAAAATTAAAGAGACAGCTAGCTAGACAGAGAAATGATATAACAGATCTTGAAACTCAATTTTACGTGACAGCTTGTAGAGCCTCTGATATTTTATGGCAGATGATTACGATAACCATTCTTGCAGTATTGAAGCACCTTGAGAAGAAGAGCATTACTAGTTCCCCTACAGATTTCCAGTTCAAGCGTGTCCAAGCGGTCATCTTCCACTAGTATGCGTGTCTTGCCAGATACGCTATTCTTATTTTTCTGTCTCATTAGCTATTTCACCACTATTTATCTTTTATGTCATTTAAATTTAATACTCTGACCATATAAATATGAATTAAATACTGAAAATACTTGAATAAATCGCAAAATATTAAAATTTAATTAAAAAAAAAATTAAAGAGACAGCTAACTAGACAGAAAAATGATATAACAGATCTTGAAACCCAATTTTACGTGACAGCTTGCAGAGCCTCTCGCGATCGTTATGGTAGGATGGATCTTCAACTGACGCAATGCAATACTTGTCTGTGCAGGAAAGAAAAGAAGTGACCCTAGCATAGAAAGAGAGAAAAGTTAGAGAGTCGAGGGGGTTATAATTTGCAATGAGAGAGAAAAAAAAGTGTATCATTCAAGGGTTTAGACTTTTTTTTTTTGTTTTTTTTTGAAAGTCTCACAAGAGATGCTTGAGCTCCACGTAAAAACCAAGCAATAAAGAAGCTTCACTAGTCAAATAATTTTTTTAAAGATTATTCGTTTATTTTACTGATTTGAGTTTAGAATTTAAGGCCTCGTTCATTTCACCGATTCGAGTTTTCAGTTTTAAGTTTTTACAGTAAAAAATTCTCAGAAATGGTCACATCTAACTTTTTCTGTTACAGTAAAAAGCTCTCAGAAAATGTCACATCTCAGCTCGAATTGAAAACTCAAATCTACGAAGTGAACGAGGCATGAGTTTTATTACAGTAAAAAGCTCTTAAAAATATTTATATATAATTTTTTTACTACAATAAAAAATCCTCACATAAAATTTTATAAAATGACTTCAGAATAATCTCAAACATTCACTTTTTATACTACATTGTAAAAGATTTAAGAAAGTAATCTTGCTAATTTTAGGGTTTGTTTTATGAGTTTAAATCATAATTTATGATTTCGACAGTTAAAATTTAAAAGTTTTATAAAAAAACATGTAACAAAATTAAAAACCAGAATTTAAACTATACAAAATCCTCATGTCGTATGCTGCGAGATCACGTCGAATGAAGCAAACATAAACGTTGCACATTAGTTAATGTCAAATAAACTACAGATGATTGAATGACACTTCAAAAAAAAAAAAAAAAAAAAAAAAAAGAAAGACCCCTTAAAAAAAAAAAAAAAAAAAAAGAAAAGAAAAGAAAAGATAACCCTCTTCTTCTTCATTCTATCCCTTGCTACTCCTGCACTCTATTTACTTTTTAGTATACCGTACTATACCGTCGCACTGTAAATTATTCATTTTTATGTAATTGACTCTAAGAGTTCGTTTGATTTATAGATTAAAATTATATGATTAGAATTATTTTTGATTTACATGTATTTTTTATGAGAGAAAATACTGTAGCGAACCACGAATCATGATTCAAATCAAGGAACGAATCTCTCTACTAAACATCACATAAACTTTTAATTTTAATAAAATACATCTTAAATTTTAAATTCAATAATAGTTAGGGTCAAATAGCTAATCGAGAAGCTTCCTGTTGTGTTGTCCGATGTCCACAAACGCACAGACCATCCACTACTTGATTATTCTACGAGCTAGTGAGACTAATCCACTAAAGACTGATGGATCAATTTTAATAACACCACTTCAATTGCAATTAACTTTAAAATTAAAGGTACATTTAAAAAAAAATGAAAGTTCCGGATTCATAATGCAAAAAGTGAATTGTTTAGAGTATAAAGTACAATTTACTCTTTCTAAAACAACCGGATAAAACCAAAAAAAAAAAAAAAAAAGGTTGAGTGATATATTCACGATAAATAACCCATGGGACAAAAAGTAGCAAATACATCGATTGCATTTATTTTATATCATACTTTTGGAGGCCTTCGTAAAAATAACTCAATAGAAAAATTTTATTAGTAAAATAACTTTTCAAAAATTTTTATTTGCAAAATAATTTTCTTTTAAAATATGACAATCTCTCTCCTCTCTCTTTGGTTCTTCTCTTGTGTTTTTAAAGAAAAACTCACCCCATTTCTGAGAGACTCCCATTAACACTAAAATCACACAGAGAGACGGTTCTAGAGAGAGAAAGGGAGAATTTTAGAGAGAGAAAGTAAAGAGAAGGCGCTGTTGAGATCTAGATCTCTCTCTATATTTGTCGCTGCGAACGAAGCCATGGCGAGAGCAGCTCTCGCTCTTGAGCTATGGATATGTTTCTCTCTCATCCTCTTCTTCCATGAAAATAAATAAAATTAAAATTAAAAAATCATTTTCTTAATTTTATTTTTTTACTTGGTTATTTTAACCAAATTCTCTCTGAGAAAGGGCGATTTGGAGAAACAATTGTTCCTTCTAAAGTTTAAGCTTTATTGACAAATTTCTTGCTTTTGAAAATAGCTATTGTTTTTAAAAAAAGATAAATTTAATTTTCACTCATGAATTTGAGTAAAAATTGATTTACACGCACTTAGATTTTAAAATGTTAGCAAGGACACCCCTTCTATTATATTTCGTCTATTTAAAGCATACATGGCACTAGTTTAAAAAATAAAGATCCATTTAAGCCAAAAAATCTTAATTATTAGTGAAACTAATTAAAAGAACCCAAATTATTCCTAATAATTGATTAAAAAAAGCCTTCTTTTTTTGTCATTCTTCGCATTCACTATTTAAAACATTGACTACACTAACATTATATTTTATTATTTAAACAGAAAATGAGATAGTAAAATTCACGTGTCAAATAATATATGTAGAGAGTGATGCTAAGCCATAGTGGCGATATAGATTTCTATCTTAGATTTTTAGGAGGGATAAGGTTTACTAACAGGCTAATCTGGTATTCTTTTAAAAACAAAAGAAGTCTTTTTTTTTTTTTTTGTTAATTTTAATTTAATTTTAGGATTAATTTAAGGTTTCATAATCATTTTAATAATTAAAGTTTTACTTTGCATTATCACTTTTAAATTAGTTTTTATTCTTTAAACTAGTGCCACATCTATTTAAATAGACCGAATGTGACAAGAGTGTTTATGCTAACGTTTTGAAGTTCGTGGGGTATATGAACTAGTTTTCATTGTTCAAGAGGCAAGATGACAAAGTTTCCAAAGTTCGAGGGGGGCAAAAATAAAATATCTCCTTTCAAAAATTCAGGACAAATTAATTATAAAAAAAAAAAAAAATTCTAAAGTGCCAAATTATGAGAATTTCAGAGGCTGAAAGCCAATCTGGTGATGGTTTTACATTTTCCTTGAGCTGAATGGACAACTGAAACGCTCACGTGAGACTCCAAAAAAATGAAATTACTGGATTCAGAAATAGTAGAATACATCTTCAAGATTCAAGTCTGAATTTCAAATACAATTTATGTTTTTCTCTCTGCGTATAAATAAATAAAAATTAAATAAAGGAGGAACATGTTGTAAAAGAGAATTAGTGCAAGTTGGAGAGTTTACAATATCAACAATGCTATCTCAGTAAACAGCTACTTCAATCTTCATTTCCTATAGTTTGTGAATTGAAGAACAATCTACTTGAGAAAATATCTATCACCTATTTTAACATATATAATTCCTTTTTTTTTTATTAGGGGAAAAATGAGGATAAAATAACGTAAAACATAAACTCCATCCCCTCTTCATTTGGGGAAAAAAAAAGAGGATAAATTAAAATACTCCATCCCCTCTTTACTTGGGAAAAAATGAGGATAAATTAAAATAAGATCTAGACTATATCATACCATCTATTGTTAGAGCTCTACCAGATTTGAGAATCAAAAGAGAAGCTGTAGAAGTTCGAAACTACTGCTTACGCCGGCGAGAGCACCTTGCACAAGGAGTTGTACGCATCGACACAGAGTTTGAATTTCTCTTCAGCCATTGCCTGCAAACATGCATTCATATTGTGTAAGAACTACGACACCAAGACACGATCACAGAGTGCAAGGATCAAATATGGCGGAATTGGACATCTTGATGTTGTCATCAGGTTTATTAGAGAATGCAAGAAAGCTTGGTTTTTTTTTTTTTCTTTTTTTAATAGAAAACTCAAAACTTAAATCAGCTTGCAGATCTTCTTAACCCTTTTTTGTCCAACGTAGACCGCTAGAAGCACCAGTTCGTGCTTTGGAGAACATTCTTATACCTAATACTAGGAGAGGGAGGGGTAGACCAAGAATTACGTGGACCGAAATAGTTAGGAAAGACATTCTAGATCTAGACTTTCAGGAAAGTTTAATTTCGAACAGAGCTGCATGGAAAAGTGAAATCTATATAGCCAACCCCAATTAAGTTGGGATTAAGGCTTGTTGTTGTTGTAGAAAACTCAAAACTTAATTGATAACAAAATAAAAAAAGTGCAAAAGTAGAAGTGGATGAGATATCCAACAACGAAAAAACAAAGCAATAACAAGAAATAGCATAAAATCAAAGAACCATCAAACAAAAACAATACACAAATTCAACCCACGACTAACAAATAACATCCTCCCAACTTGTCATGATCAAGTGAGAAATCCTGAACGGCAGAATCTATTGAAGCCCAAAGGGAAGCCAAAATTTTTGCTTTCTCAAAGAGATCCTCTTTTTGCAGTTCGTTTTCTTCAAATATTCTCTGATTTCTTTCCAACCAAATCACCCAAAGTATCAGAGGAAAGGGGAAAAGAAAATTATTGAAGAAGCTAAAAATTGCTTTCTTACATTCCAGAAATGAAAAAGCAAAAGGAAAGTTCTACTTAATGGATGCTGGTCACAATTCTGTTATACCAATTCCTGCTCACCATCGGTAAAGGAGAAAAGTATCAAATTACATTTATTACTACTAACTTTAAACTATTTGCTAAAATACCCCAGGAGTTCTAATACAAAGAATAGCACTCTTAAACGACTTCCACATCACACGTGCTTTCTTTCCTTTGCCGAAGCTGATTCTACTAGAAGGTCATTACCACGGGCTGGAGCCACCCAACTAAAACTGGTTGCATTGAACAAGTTCACACCACAGGAATCTAGCTAAACAATGAAGAAATAAATGATCAGCAGATTCATGATTTTTCCTGCACGTAACGCGCCAGTTTAGAGAAAGAGCGTGAAGGGAATGCTTTCTTTGAATCATTTCACAAGTATTCAGCCTTCTATGGAATATTAACCCAACAAGGACTTTGACTCCAGAGCCACAGGATTCCCAAATTAAATCAAAGGGAAGAAAGGGGAAAGAAAAGCTATTTTGGATCAACAAATAAATAAAGGAGTTGCAAGAAAATCCGTTATCATCGCATACCCACACTCGCCGATCAGGAACGGATGATGATAATGAGGAATTCCCCAAGGCTGAAATAAAATCAGAAAATTGATCATATTCCCTATCATTAAAGTTCCTTCTGAAACCGAAACTCCAGCACAAATAGGAAATTTCATTTGGGACTAAAACTTCATCAATCTTTACATCCCTATGATCAATCAAATGATAGTGTAGGAAAGGAGAGAGCCAAAGGCCCGTCACCACACCACACATCCACCCAAAAATGAATGGAAGATCTGTCGCCCACCCTCCATTTAACTCTCTTAAGTAAAGAATCCAAACCTTGTGAAATCCAATTCCAAGGGTTTTGATGTGTACGGTCTCTTTTGGCAGAGCTTTTGCTTTTACTTTTAGCCAGTAGAAGAAGAGAATCAAAAGTTGTGGCTTTTCAGTAGTGTTTGGAACCAATAGCTTAACCGGTCAAAATGAGTTTTAAATTTTCTAATCAACAATAAAAGCGTTGGAATTACGTTTATAATGCCTTAATGAAACTCTAGTGCACGTTTCAAAATCTATTAAGAAGTGCTTTTTATAGAAGCCTCATTTTGTGTCTTTGACTAGAAACTCTTCTGAAAAACCGAAACACTTATGGCAGATCTTCCAAACACTTCGAGAAACTACTTTTGGCCCAGAGAAGCCAAAAGCAACTTTTAGGAAGCTCTCCCAAACATGTTAGAATCCCATCTATTACGTTGAAGTCCATATTTCCTCCTAATAACATTTGCCCCATAGAGAACCTTGTTCCAAGGGAAACCTCCAGAACCATTTCCCCAATAAGGCTTGTTTCCTTCTCAATAAATTCCCAACACCAGGCCACCATCCTTTTTGCTCAATGGCACAATTGATCAAGCCACCATTACACCATATTATCAACCCGTCCTTTCTCAAAGCTTTCCCACAAGAAGTGTCTCATTTTACTCTCCAACTCTTTGGCTACCATCACTGGCTATTAGAAAATCAACTAAAAATATATTGGGACACTTGCCAGTAGTGACTGACTCAATGTTGGTCTTCCTCCCTTAGGCAAGAAACTTTTCTTCCTATTGTTCAATCTCTTGCAAACTTTTTCAATCACTGGGATCAAGAATTCTTTGGCTGGCGGATTCCCCCTAGAGGGAGGCCAAGATACTTCAAGAGCCACTTTCCAACTTCACAAGCCACCTCCCTTGCCAATTATTGAATTTCACTCTCTTCCAAGTTTATGACGTTCAAAATGCTTTTTCCCAAATTTATATTCAATCCCCAAACAAGAGAGAAAATTTTTAGAATCACAAGTGTGTTCCTAAAATTTTCTCTCGACAACTCAACAAGAAGCAACATATGAACGGTGAATTGAAGGTGAGAGATGGAACATGTTCATTTCCTACTACAAATCCTTTTACCACCTCCACAGCACACCTTTATAGATTGAAGGGGAGAAAATTTTTTTAACACCATATCCTCCAGCACTTCTTTCGATCTATTTGCCAAGACCTTAGCTAAAATTTTATAGAGACTTGACATTAAGCTAATCGCTCTAAAGTCCACCTTCCTAGAATCCACTTTCTTAGGAATGAGGCATAGAAATGTATGATTTATGTTTCTATTAACCACCCCACTCCTAAAAGCTCATTATAGCCTTTTCACATGAACCCAAACATCTAAAAATTGTTAAGTGGCTTATCAACTCTGCAACCAGCAGCTTAATTTTCAAGCTAATCAGACAGCAGAAACTCAAGTTCTTTTTCTTCTTCTTCATCTTTTTTTTTTTTTTTTTGGTATTAGAACAGGTTGAGATTTAATACCAAGAAGATAGGTTTTGTTTGTAGATACAGTACAAGATTATTTTAGTCATTTTATTTAAAAGTTCCAACGTACCCCATCAAACTATACGCCTAGTCAATATTCAACAGTAAATATGGGATGATTGCTGACTAGTCACTAGATCCACATCTAACATATTAACATTAAACACAAATTAAACAAATCATACAATGAACATAAGTTAAGAACCTGTGAAGGGCCGGGATGCTTATCAGGATGCCATTTTAAAGCGGATAACCGGAAACTGCAAAGGACAAGTCAAAATTGCAATGAGTGAGTAAAAAGAAAAAGAAGCGGAAATTAAACCGATAGATAAAAGAGCAATGAAGGGCTTACGCCTTTTTAACATCTTCTAAATGCAGAGGGCCAGTTGGAGGCAGACCGAGAATTGTTCTATCAGAAGATGATCCTAGAGTGTAGGTTTCATCATCAGACTCAGAATCACTACTACTTCCCCATGTTCTACTATGTTTCCAGCTCGAGTGCTCTGTCCACTCAAATTCAGAAGCTGAACTTCTGAAAAAAGACTCCCCTCGCGAGTTAAAAGACCAAGTACACCGTCTGTTGCCGAATGTCGCTTCGAAGGTTGTATCACGATGTTCATCAAAATCCCAACCGAAGTTGGCCCTTCTAACTTTACCTGAAGATGTAAAAGAAAACAGATTAACTTGTTAGGACGTATGTTTAAACCAGTTCACAACAGCTTTACAATGAAAAAGTAATAGGATGAATACCTAGTAAATGTATAAACATAGTTTTGTAAGATTTAAGATTTTAAAATTTGAAAATTGGATTTAGTCGTCAACTGTCCCTATCAGAATAGGAATGACTAAGGATTGTGAATTGACAGCAATAATCATATCTGAATAACGGAAATGAATTGCACGAAATAAAGTCTAAACACACCAAATTCTACAATAATCACACAATTTCCTTCGAGGTAGTTGTTCATAGCTGATGAGGAGTTATTGACTTTTGAAGCTATTGCACAGACGTTTATTTTGGCTGTTGATTTTAACTTCCAAAGTTGAACTTATAAAATATGCTTTTGACCATCTTGTCAGTTAATTAACCTTATAAAAATTAGACGATAATGCACAAATAAGTAGGAAAGGGAAAAAACCCAGTGAAAGAAAACTAATAAAATAACTCACGTTTGTTTATCTTCTGGTGATATCTATCATCATGTCCGGCTGAATTTCTTGATTTATGCTTCTTATTTGAATTATCAGATTTACCTGTGTTCCAACCAATCTTCCATCCCGACTCTTCTTCCTAGGTAAGAGTATCATAATAAGCCCTTATTAGAACAAGAAAGAGAAAACAAACAACCAAGTAGATGTAGGAGAAAAAATTCCAGTAAACAACATGTTTTTGTCAAGGTATTGGAGCATAATTGCAATAGCAGAAAGTTTACCGGCAATGAAAATTTAGAGGGTCCACTTCTGTACAGAAAATCATTCAATGCTTTCTTAGTATCAGCACGCCTTTGACGTATTGCGAACCGCATTTGTTTCTGAATTAAAACATTTAGTGTAAGAAATACCACATAATAAGGAATCCAAACAGAGAGTTTGAAATGAGAAGAAGGGCATGCCAAAAATGAGATCAAAACAAGCAAACAAGAAATTTTCAAGATTGTATCTTATCCTTAATATCAGGATCTAGAACCACGTGATAAGCGAAAAGTTCGAATACAACATATATGCAGACAGAAACAGAATCCTGCAAAATTCCACTTTTGGTAACCAACTCCATATGGATGTCACGGTATCTCATAAATAAACCATGGAAATATATGAAATTGAATAAATAAAAAATACATGATTGGTCAATCCACATAAGCTTATGAAGGTAAAGACGAACGGGGATGAGTGTGTTCTTCATCAATAAAAAAGCCACCTAAACATTTTATGAGCGCTAAAAGATACTTTTTCGATCCCCCTCTAAGTATTCTGCTTTGGCCATTGCCAAGGTTTGAGCTTACATAATGGAAGAGAAGAAATTTTCCAATAAATTTTAAGTCTACAAACATATAAAATGAAGCACACTCATCGGCAATGATATCAACATGGAGTTTATGAAGCTACCATACAATGGCAGCATCGCACCTAACTTTCGTCTTTGGTTGGAAGTTACAGTAAAACATAAGTTCTCTAAGATTAATTCTATATAAAACCAATCCTAGCAACTGAAAGAGATTCAAAACATTTCATTACTGAATACCAAATAACAGGCCTTAAAGGAGAAAATGACAAGGGGAAAATTAAGCACTAGACTACTAAGGGCGAATCTGGCAAGGGCCAAGGTTTCTTGGAACCTGCTTTTGGCTTCATTGGGAGTGTTCAGATGACCTTTAAAGAGTTTCCAGACTTCCAGACAAAGCCACAAAATGTGGCTTCTCAAGAAAGTTCTTCTGATAAGACTTTTGAAACTTATATTAGAGCTTCAGCAAGATTATATAAATTCCAATTTTATCCTATTAGTCTCTCTTGAATATGGATGCAAAAAGTGGCCGAAAATTCATGACTTTTACTTCTTTTCTTCCACTGCTCAAAAGCGCAAGTAAAAGCCAAACAGCTCTAAGAGTTATAACATTTTAAGCTTCCCTACCTTTCTAGTTAAAGAACATAAATGTCAAAGTCCAAACTCCAAACAAATAAATTTAAGAAGAATTCCAAGATTAAAAAACCAAACCTTTGATGCTTGATGTTGGTGGCTTCCTTTTACACCCTGTGACCAAATGAAGACAAGCACATTAAGACCCAACTGATCAAGCAATATCAACATTGCCAAACAAGGAAAAAAAAATCTCAAAAAATAAAAGGCACTTTAAAATTAGTCTCTCATACTTGAACACAAACACAAGTAAATACAGAGAAGAAAAAAAAAAAAGAAACAAAAACTGTTTATCTAAAATAAAATTTTCTCTGGACATAAAATTTCGTAAAAACAAAATTGGATAAAGTTAGAGAAGAAAGAGAAAGTATCTTACAGCATTAAAGTTGTTCTTCCATTTCTGAAAATAAATCGGTGTAGAATGGAAGGAGGCGAATTGGGTTACGACAGAAGACGATGGAATCAAGGAGTTCTTCAAAAGCAAGAGGTTTCGCCATCTGGGTATTGGCCATGGCATCTTGTCGTTTTGAAGAAAATTTCGAAATCACGATTTTATTATAGTTTTTTCTGCTTTGTGGGTGTGTGTGTATGTATATATATATCCTACGTCTTACAAGGAATTGGGTTGTTTTTGCGGAAAAGAAAGTTCAGATTCTGTGATCGCCAGCCCTGGGCGTCACATTGGTGTTGTGCTTTGCGGTGTTTGAGCCGAGCTCGGTTCTGTTAACCTGCGACGGATCAAAATCAGACGAGAGGAGAGTGGTTTTTGAGGGTTAATACATGGCTTGTATAGAATTACAAAAGATTAGTTTCATACATGCCCCTCAACTTTGTATCATATTGAAAGATGCCTATAAATCTTGAAAAAGGGTTCATTTACACCCCTGAATTATATATCTTAAATCTTTTAATGTTAAAATGCATCTTTATATTTATAAAACTGACAAAATGGTTACGTGAAACTATTTAAATTTTTATAAACGCCTCAAATTAATGACTTTAAGTCAATTTACCTCCTGAATTAGTACTTTTGTATCAATTTGCCCCTCGATAATTTAAAAGATTAGGGAGAAATTGACACAAAATTAATTGTTCACATGCATTATAAATTACTTTTCCTACTTCTTGCAGTGAAATGAACCCTTTTAAAAATTGGGGACGTGTTGAAACGTGGTATAAACTTTAAGGGGTATTTATGAGATTAACGGTCTCTGAACTTTACCCTTATCTCACTTTGATCCTTAGTTTTTTAAAACATCTCAAAATTTACCTCAAACAAACAATTTGTTTCACTTTTAGTCTTTTTGTCAGTTGGATGTTAAAAATTGAACCAAATATAGATGATGTTCGATAAGTAGAGCATTATTTATAATCAAGATTTACGTGCATATTATGTATTTGATCAACAGAGTATTATTTTCCTTGAACATGACGTGTATATTCCTTTTTCTAACACTTAACTAACAGGGATAGGGATGGCATTCTTGCTAACCGGTATGGGTGCCCATGGGTGCACATACCTAATAGGATCGGTGTGGAGGATTATAAGTGGCAATTCGTGTCACGTGTCGTGTTTGTATAGTGTTTTGATTGTTTCTTTCTAAATTTGTAGTCAACATAAACACGACCCGTGACACAAAATTTTTTAAAAACCGCAACACGAATACGACACGACCATTTTACGGGTTGACACGACATGACACGAAAATGACCCGTGACACGAAAATGACCCGTGATCCTGAAATTGACCCTTGAACCTGAAATTGACACGAAAATTGTTTACTTTTATTTAGTTTTTTACATATTAGAAATAACTTAAAATTCATAACACACTAAAATACAATAACTTCCATTAAAATTAAGCAAAAAATAGTATAAGATTTTGAGTATAACTATCATGAAAGTTCATAATAAAATAAAAAATATGTAATGCAAAATATATGTATTTTTTAGATTTTTACGAGTTTCGTGTTGTGTTCGGGTTAGGTGGGTCCAACCCAAAATTGACTCGTGTTTTTTGTGTCAATTTCAGGTCGACCCAATTTTGACCCGAACCTCTTTTTTCTCAACCCTAACCCGTGAAATTCGTGTCGTTTTCGAGTCGTGTTATCGTGTTGTGACCCATATTGCCGGCCCTATAAGGGTGGGGAGAAAAGTTAGCCCCCAATTCGGAGGGTTAGACGGAGTGGGGATGAGACAAGCTTCCCCGCCCCCATCATATATGTTCTTACATGCATATGTTTGAGTTCGAATTTAATTTTAAGGCTTTGATTTGTTAGTGTTAAAGTTTTGATTTAAAATAGTTATATTATTGAATTTTCTAATTAATTTACTCGTGTGTTTTGCGGCATGCTTGAAGCTTGAGCTAATAAGGCCAACCACCAAATTTAGTCTGGGGTTGTAAAACTAGGGAATAGTAAAAATTCAAAATTGTTTTCCAAATAAGGATTTCTCTTTTTTCACCATACACATATTAATGCTTTATATTTCATTTTATTTCCACAGTCATTCATCCTGTTGGAAGTATGAACAAAGTCTCACACATTGACAATAAATGAGAGCTGTGATGAGTTTATAACGGAATAGATTACTACGCTCATTATCTTAACCTTTTAAGTTAGTACCCTAATCGCTTATGACGGAACCCATTGTTTTAACATGATATAATCAAAATAAGCTTGAAAAGTGACAAAATAATCATATAACAGCAGCTGATAAAATCGGTACTTAACAATACATGACGCCTTTCTCAAGTAAATATTTCTCAATATCCAAAATGCAACATGATATATATATATATATATATATATATATATATATAACGAGCCAATTCATGACAGATTGATCAGCGTGACTTACCCAAAAGCCAAGGGAAAAAAAAGGCCAAATCACAAAAGTATGGTTTATAATTGAAATGGAATGATAGACAAAAGAATATGAAGATTAAAGGAAAAAAAAAAGTACCTGTAATAATAGAGGACGAAAGGGGGATTGGAAAGTCTTATCCAGCCAGGTCCTGGTGGAATTTCTTGGATCTTCAAAAAAAAAGACTTTGTAAGTTTCAGTACAGTACGAGTAATAAAATGAATTATTAATTATTCAAATTTAACATTGGGATTCCTTTCTCAAAGATGTTCATTTGTACGTGTTTCATCTATATCACAAGGCTTGTGATAAGAAAAAAACTTTCGCTCAGATACGTTTGTAGAATTAGAATGAACGAGAAAGATAACGAATTTTGAACCGCTAACGGTAGGATAAATAATTAGGGAATCAGATGGACCTTTTTGGGGATAGAGGGACTTGAACCCTCACGATTTTTAAAGTCGACGGATTTTCCTCTTACTATAAATTTCATTGTTGTCGATATTGACATGTAGAATGAGACTCTATCTTTATTCTCGTCCAATTAATCAATTCTTCAAAAGATCTATCAGATTTTGATGGAGTAACTGATTTGATCAATGAATATTTGATTCTTTTTTCAACTTATAATTGATTCACAACAATTCTTTCATTTTTCATGAAAATTAAAAGAAATACGGATTTGTGTTGTCATTAATCATTTGAAGATAGTATTTCAGTAAATATGAGAATTGGGATTAATATACTCAAATTACGTTCTCTCCTTCTAGTAGCAAGATTCGGATCCCATCTCCCAATTCTCAACAAAAACAAATTACCTGCATGTTGTGAAAATGGAAATAGTACTCCCCCATTGTCTTAACTCAAGAAAATAGGTTTACTCAAGGCAATACTTAAAAACATTGTTAATCTTCTTCAGAGGCTATACAAATTAAATGTTAATTATTTCATACAATTTTTTTTTTTTTTTAAGAATGAGATGCAAAATTTGCAAAATCTCTCATGATTCTATCTCTCTCTGAGAAGAAAAGTAATTCTTCCCTTCATAGATCATTCTCTCTCTTTCTCTCCCCGTCAAATCCAGATCGGATCTGACATAATCCATCAAACTGAAGAACCCAAAATTGGTTAATTAAAAACCATACGTAACCCAAAATGTTTATGATTTAAGCGGTAATTCCGCACCGATCTCTAATATTACTATCTCATATATCATACACAGTCTCAATATTAACCTAAATTTAATTTGTAGCTTTTAAACAAAAAACAAAAAACAAAAAATCCTACACTTTCCTAATAATAATTAAAAAAAAAAACAAAAAATCAAGAAGCCATGGACGAGGCCAAGGGCATTTCGCTCTCATGAGACGTGATGCTAGAATTGCTCGACGACGAAACAGTACTGTGTATATTTCTATCTTGATCATCCCTTCCACTGCGATCCTGATCATCACTACCGTCATTTTCATGCACTGTCACCGCAGCCTCAAATTGCACCCTCCTCTCACCATTATTACCACCCGGGGACTCGTGATCATCCGTCGGGACAGCAGCAGAAGATTCGACACTATTATTCTCGTTGCCACCACCGCAGTTCATGCCAAGTCGGAAGCCAAAAACCCTAGAAAATATCCGGTACAAGAAGGTGAAGAGCCAGAAGAGCCAAGGAAGGCAGACCAAGGAGACTCCGGCAACGGGGAGCCATGATGTCGTCGGAGTCTCGGGCAAGATCATGTACAGGGCGAGGCAGGCGCCTCCCGCGGCGATGGAGAGGAGCAGGAAGGAAGAGATGGCCCATATGAACGCTCGTCCAGCTCTTGGATCTGTTACAGGCATTTGCGAATATATATATATTTGTTGTAGAGAAATGTTGTATCAGATCATATGGAAAGCAAGGAAGCATATCATTTTGATAATTCCTCGTCCACTGTTGGGAAGATGGTGGTGATAAGAACAGATGGGATAAGATTGTCCATGCATGAGAGATTGATCTCTCTCTCTCTCTCTCTCTCTCTCTCTCTCCTCTCTCGCTCTGTTTTTTTTTTTTAAAAATGATAATACTGGTGGACGTTTTCAAGAGTTGTTTACGGAAGACAAGGTTTTGTGTCACAAACTCGCAACGAATTCCAATGTAATGAGGGGTGAGACTTGAGAGAGAGATAGAGATAGAAGCGGGTTCACCTTGTGATCTTTGGTAATCAAACAAACAAGGGTTTGATGTCCTCTTATTTGCGGATATACGTGTATGTACATATTATAAGTTGGGTAAATGCATAGAATGGCAGTTTTTATACACGCATTCCAAGTAAATAGCATGTTTTTAAAAGTACTGATAAATTATAACATATTCATATCTTTCATTTTAAAATAAATTATTCATTTCCTATTTTACTCTCTAGGTTTTTCTTCCCCATTTCTTTCTCATACTCCTTTCAGACTCTCTCTCTACAGCCACTTGTTCTCTCTCTACAGCCACCTCTCTCACGACCAGCGGCGGCGCGGCTTCCGACGACCGATTATTGCCACCGCACGAGAGAGATCATCAGCGGCGATCTCCGGCGAGGTTCCCTTCGCAATTTCCGGTCCCAGACCCTCTCTCTCTCCGCAAGCCAGATCTTGAGGAACACGACGTCATCGCCGTTCTACTCCTCTCTTTTCTCTCTCCTCCCCCGAGGAGCTGCATCGGATCTGACATGGATGACGATGACTCAACATCTGTGCCGGCTTCAATGTTGTTGATGACGGAGCTCTAGTGATCTTGGTGCTCTGTCGGGGGAGATTGTAGCGAGTAAGAGATCGCTGGACCACGACCCGATGAGCTCTCAAGACTTTTCAGATCTCGCCGTCGTGAACTAGATCTAGCCAGATCTCGCCGACTCTCTTTCTCCATGCGGTTTCGGCGCCGTCTTTCTCTGCGCAAAATGGTGATCGTTTCTCAGGTCCGTTCATTTCGCCAATTCGAGTTTAAAATTTAAGTTTTGTTACAGTAAAAAACTCTCAGAAACAGTCACATCTAACTTTTTTATTACAGTAAAAAATTCTCACACAAAATCACATCTCAACTCGAATTACAAACTCAAATTAACGAAGTAAATAGGCTCTTAGATTTTTTGTTTTTTTTCCGTGTTTGTGAGTGTGATTTTGTTTAGATTTCAATGATTTTGTGAATTTTGTCAAGATCTGGATTTTGTGAATGAATTTTGTGTAGTCTAAATTTTAGACAATATGTGTTTGAATGAATTTTGTGAATTTCAAGAGAATCCTGATCTTATTTTCTATTTTTTTTCTTTTTTTGTTTTGTTTTTTGTTATTTCATGATTTAAGTTGCATTTGTTTGTGTTTGTGTTTGGAATATGATAAATATTTAATGATAAATACAGTATTATAAATATTATAAATATCATATTTATTGATAAATATGATATTTATCGATAAATATATTATTTAACAGTTGTCGAAGTCAATGTCTGGATTTTTGAATAAACATAATATTTACAGGTAAATACGGTATTTACTAATATATACAGTGCTTAATGGTCATTAGGGTCGGTGGCCAGATTCTTAGATAAATATGATATTTACTAGTAAATACGGTATTTACCGGTAAATACAGTGTTAAACGATCGCCGGAGTCGGTGATCGAATTTTCGGATAAATATAATATTTACTCATAAATACAGTATTTACTAGGAAATAAAGTATTAAACGGTTGCCGAAATCGGTGTCTAAATTTTAAGATAAATATCATATTTACTGTTAAATATAATATTTACTGATAAATACAGTGTTAAACGGTCACTAAAGTTGGTGGCTTGATTTTCAGGTAAATATTGTATTTACTAGTGAATATGGTATTAAATGGTAAATATAGTATTTACTAGTAAATATAGTGTTAAACGATCGTCAAAAAATAGTCACCAGAAAACGGTCACAGATTGCCAAAAAATGGTCTCCGGTCATCGTAGCCGGCCGCCGGTCTTGGCCATGATAGACTTACTATAATCTACTTATTTAAAAAAATATGTTATAATTTATTATTATTTTTTTAAATATATGTTTAGGGGAGAGGTGTGAAGTGAAAAAGTAAGTTTAGAGATATTTTTAGGTTTTTAATAATATTTAAAACTTAAAATATCAAATTATATTATAATTTATTATTTTTTAAAAATATGTTATAATATAATAATCACTTTACCAACCAATTATGCTATTTCCTTTCTATTCCCTTATAAGTATATACATGTAAGTATATACACAGGTATATGTACATGCGTGTGTATGTGTATGCTTATACGTGAATATATGTGTGTATATATATGTGTGTATATATATATATATATATGTATGTTTGTATATATGTATACACGTATATATGTACAATTGAATTGTTAGGCATCACTCCTCAAAAAAAAAAAAAAAAGAAAAAGAAAAAAAAGAGCAGCAAAAAGACAAATAATAATAATAATAATAATAATAATAATAATAAAGGGCAGCAAGCAGTGTTCAAGCGACAAATTTAATTTTATTTTTCCATACGAGTAGAATTGAGTTTGCCAATCTTAGCGGCCGTCTGTAGAAAAATGAAGCACAAAATTAAGGGATTGTTTTTTGTAACAAAATTTTAAAAAAGTTAAAACTCAAGTTACAATTTTATTTAAATTTACGTTCTTTTAAGTTTCAATTTTATTTAACTTTATTTAACTTTATTCAAATTACAACTTCAACTCAAGTCATATTGCTTCAGTTCGATTTTTAGTTTCTTCACATTTTTAATTGCTCGTCAACTTATTTTTCTTTGAAGCAACTCCAAAATTATCAAGAGTAAAAGTGTAAGCCAATTTATATAGCGAGTATTTAGTTGTTAAAATTAGAAGATGCCATGAAACAACAATTTCACAAAACGAGAAAGTTGAAGCTCATTAGAAATTGAAGTTCAAAGACTAAAGAACAGATACTCTTTTAAGGAAAAAAGAAATCGATTATTGATTTTAAACCAATGTGGGCTTCTCTTATTTCCTCTTGCGGGGAATTAGGATTCGATCTAGAATAGTGGTCGATTATATAAACCACCTCAATCATAAGAACGTCTCAACTATTTGTTAAAACATTTTTTTTAATTTTAAATTAATACTACATATATATTGACAATCGAGAATTGGAGACAACATAGCTATGTAATTTAGAAACACTACACTGTAAAATCTTCAGCTAAAAAGAATGCAATTTGGCAGGAAAAGGGTAAATTGAAAAAGGGGTATACAAAACAGTTGACTTTCCGACCATCCAGCTTTACCTTGAATTTTCACCTCCTCAGCAGTTTGTCATGGATCAACAATATTTTACACACAAGATGTAGGAAAGGTAATGTGTTCCTAAACTCTCGTTGCAGAACCCGTCTTTCCTCAACATTGCTACTTTGGCCATCAGGTCTCCAGATATTACAGGTCTTGAGACTCTTTTAACCATTTGCCTTGTTCCAGACTGTGTTATTGAAAAACATTCTCGTTCTCGAGTTCAACTAGAAATCGAGCCCTGAAACTCGAGCGTGAAATTGGTAGCGTTCTAGGGACATTCATGAGGTAATTGTCTCAGTCAAAGGAACTTCAGGCACGTTTTTATCTGCTTCGATCCTCATAGCAGTAAGCATCTTGTGCCTTTTTTGCTCCTGAGCTCTCCTCCTATTGGTCTCAAGGATGATAAGAAGAGCAGTAATGTCAGCTGGGCTGACCCCGCCAACCCTGCTCGCTTGACCTATGGTCTGTGGCCTAACCTGAAAGCATGACTTCTAGATTATAACAGGAAACCATCTTCTTTGAAGCTAGAACAGATCACATGCTCACCGTGGTTAGACTAACAAATCCATCTATTCCCTTTTACACCTATAATCTACGATTTTCTGAGCTCATAAGTTTCATTGAAAATTCTCACATTATATGCATCCAGTTTGAGATTCAGTGAAATCCGCTCACTACTCACCCCGTTGCCCTTGAGGAATCTAAATAATAGTTGAAAGTCTATGTATTGCAAGAAGAGAATGGAGAATAGATGCATCTTGTTAAAATTTTCCGAAAATGAAATTTATAGATTCACCTTATAATAAGTTTTCTCAGAAAAAGATAAAAAGGATGCAACGATGGAAAGTGGGCATGCTACACACGCACCTTGGATAATTTTTCTCGTGCTTCAAGAGACAATGTGGTCATCGCATAGTAGTCCAAGTCCTCTGGAATTGGTCTATGTTGTTGATGGACCATCTAAAAAGAAGCAAACAAGAGAAATTGAAGATGGCGAATTAAAAAATAAGAACTTTCAAGAAAATGCCTAAAAAATAACAAAGAAAATGATAACTGAATGCTTAATCGTTCTGTTTACCTGTTGGAGTTGGTTCTTCTGGCGTATAATGAAGCCCTCATACTTGATATCAATCTCTACACATTCTTTATCAATTCTTGACAACAACTCATTCCCAAAACCATGCTTATCAAAAACTTTGTATTCTATGTGCGGTTTCTTGAGAAGACTCTCCAGTGTTGCGAAGTCCCTCACAGGCTGACCAGACAAATGAGTAACTTCAGCAGCTAGATCTCCTCCTGGGAGTAAACAAGAAAACAAATCTGAACTAGGATTCAAACAAATACCTCCAAACCAGAGGGTCTTAAAATATTTTGCTTGTTAAGGCACTCAAAGAAGGTTTTATTTATTTATCTTTTGAACTCCTAAAATAAAGCCAAAGCTAATTAACCTGAAATTCTAACACTTTTCAATCGCTTCTTCTCTTCTGAAATTCGAGCTTGCTTGTCCTGGTATAGTTTCCAGCGTCTATCATCTATTAACCCAATCTCTCGGCCCAAAGGTGTGAGACGGCTGTCAGCATTATCGGATCTAAGAAGCAACCGGTGTTCGGAGCGGCTACAAGGGAAACAAAGAATTGCTGAAACGAAATTTTTTGGTAAAACAAGAAACAGAAAATCCACATATAATCTATATGCTTGTGAAGATAGAAAAGCAATGTGACGCACGTATTCTAGGTCATGCTACCGCATCTGCTATGCCAAGTAGCATACAAAACCACGCCCTTTCTGAATATAATTTATAGACCAAAGTCAACAAGCAGATAAGTGGCCTCAGAGAGCCACCTTACCTATCTATTTAAATAATATGGATGGCACATTCTCTTAAATATACTATGCAGGGTGATCTTGAGAAAGTTGTTCAAGCCAACCATTACATATTTATCTCAGCACACTATACTATCATATATATATATATACATATATATATATATTTTTTTTGTGTGGAATCTAACGCTGCATCTCTGTTAGTCTCTTATATCCTGGCAGCACTCAGAAGGGCAGAAAGCAATCGGGATTCATTTAGCAAACATATATCAGTTTTCCCCGTCAAATTGGAAATGTAAAAAGTTCATTTTTCCAGAGATAACAACAATGTCAACATAGAGAAGATGAGACCACAGATTAATTAGAGTATTTAGTACTACTGCCAACAATATCTAAGGATGATTGTTGCAACAGTTTTATCCATCTCTCTTACCTTGTTAACATACGGTAAGGTTCTCGAAGATCCTTAGTAACCAGATCATCAATCAGTGTTCCTATGTAACTGCTTTCCCTCTCAAGAACAATAAGGGGCTTACCATCTGAATGTCTCGCAGCATTAATACCAGACAAAATGCCCTAGCGGAAAAGAAAGAAGAAAAAAAAAATGAGAACTGTCTTTTGCTAAAGAAACATATTGCATGTGCCCAAACAACATAAAATTTCCAAACAACATAAAATTTCCTTCAAGAAAAGTTTGAAGAGATTAAGCAAAATATAATTAATTCACTCAAGACTTGTTAAACCAACAACTGACTATAAATAAAAACTACTCCACAATATTTCAACTGATTGAAGGAAACTCCGAAAGACAATTACTTGTGCTGCGGCTTCTTCATAGCCAGTGGTTCCGTTTATTTGACCAGAAAAGAAAAGCCCATCAATTTTCTTTGTCATGAGAGACCTAGAGCATTGGTGAGTAGGCAAGTAATCATATTCTACGGCATAGGCAGGTCTCAGCATTGAACAATTTTCAAGTCCAGGCAAAGTTCTCAAGAGTGGTAATTGTAATCTTTCTGGTAAACCAGTAGAAAAGCCCTATAATAGAAGAAAACAATCAAATTACGCAATACAGTATTACAAAAGTACATGTAATGATATGTTATGGGGATCAACTGTCCTTTTTATTCACTACGAACTAATAGTTAATTACAGAATATTGTGCACTGCCAAAGATGTCAGAAAGGGTATTATTTACATACATATTTGCTCACATAGGCACACCCTTTCTGTCCACCCAAACAAAACATCATTATCCATATTCTGTTCATTTCAGAGTAAAGGCATAATTTTTATATCCGCATCTAACCATCAAAATAAAAACAAAATTTGGTTCCACTTCACCTGCACATAGAGCTCCGGCACATTTCGACCTTCTGGTTCAAGAAAAATCTGATGCGACTCTTTATCCTTAAATCGAACAATCTAAAGCCCCAAAAAAAAGAAGAAGAAAAAGATAAATGAAACCTTAGAAGGCAACCGGAGTTTATAAAAATCAGAGTTTAGCAATTACCAGAAAGTAGCAAAGGTGTCATCTTGATAAATGTTCCAAATGGTAAATTATAATCGGTAATGTTAGTAAAGAGAGAGAGATGTTTCTTATAAAAAAAAATTAAATATACGCATTAAAGATCAACAGATTTAAGCCCCAAAAAAGAAAGTGTAGTAGCTTTATCTAGATATAATCACAGACAATAACATGCGACAGAATCAACAACTTGAACCTTGAATTGACGTGTCAGTTGTCATGCAATGCAAAGTCACGATCACTTAATGCAAGGTAACAAATATCCTTCGGGAAAAACAGTGCCCTTTACACAGAGCAGATATATATGAGAATCTTTTACACTTATGTTGAAGAAGTTAACAAAGGTTTTTTCTTTTAACTTTATTTTTATATTTATATTTATTTTTATTTTTTATTTTTATGACTTTGATTGATCTCTTTAAGAAGTAATCCACATCAAACATGATTAACCAAGCACCAAGAGAGGCAACCAAAGCTGGTATAACTAGTAAGGACACAGTATCTCCAAAAAAAAAATGTCACGGTATCTCAAAACAGCAGAAAGAACTCTCTGCAGTGATTAAGATGACAAAACAATCGAAAAATTAGCGTTGCTACTCAGATGGTAACAGTTTTATTGCCACTTAACAAGGAATATAATAATCAGATTGTGAGTAAGAATTGATGATTGCAAACCTTTAATGGAACAATTGAGAGTGAGAGAGTATATAGTTACTGAATGAATTCCAAATTTTGTTGAATCATATATAGCCAAATTACTGGGTTGAGAGGCTGTATCATAGACACACTTATTGTTCGTGCCTTCACTTTTGCGATTCCTTAATTAAAGTCCTTGTTTAGATGATTAAGAAATATCTTTCATACCAGGATCTCATAGTTCAAATTAAAAGAAAGCCAACCTTTGTAGAAAATAACGCATAACATGACATACAGAATAACAGCAGCGAGCAAAACATAGCAGAAAATTTCATCTGTTGAAAAATACAATGATGAGATGAACACCTATTGTTGAAATTCAAACTAGCCGAGTATTAGATAAGTGATAGGCTCCTAGAATCGTGGGATAATAGCTAAGGATCTATTGTAAGCTAATCCCTATAAATGTGTAAAGTAGTTCCTAATATCTAGGAGGTCTCTTAGGATAAGATCTTATCTTTTGCCTTTGTATAAATACCCTTCCGGTCCATTCAATTAATGAGAGGAAATTCAGATTATTCCAAACTTCATGGTATCAGAGCCCTAGGTTCTCAAAACCCTAATTTCCTAGCCGTCATCTCTAGCCAACCCTCAACATGGCCGAATCCGACCAAACCTCCGGAGACTCCACATCCTCTGTCTCTCAGAATGTTTCTTCCAATCCCCAGACCACAAATGACCATAATCTTACTCCCATCCCCAGCCACAAACTTAATGGACACAACTATCTTCAATGGTCTCAGACCATGATGATGTTCATTAGTGGACGAAGCCGTGATGACTATATCACCGGTGCCGCTGTCCAACCAGGCACCAGTGATCCTAAATTTAGGACATGGAGAGCAGAAAATAATATGGTCATGTCTTGGCTAATCAGTTCAATGACGACGGAAATAGGTGAGAATTTCCTTCTCTACACGACTGCCAATGAAATCTGGGATGCAGTCCGTGACACCTTCTCTAGCAGTGAAAATACTGCTGAACTTTTCCATGTGGAGAGTATCCTCCAGGACCTACGACAAGGAGATCAACCAGTAACCACCTACTTCACCACTTTGACGCGGTATTGGCAGCAGCTGGATTTATTCGAAACTCACGAGTGGAAGTGCTCGGATGACAGCAAATACTTCAAGAAAATAGTAGAGATCAAACGCATCTTCAAATTTCTAATGGGGCTGGACAAATCTCTTGATGAAGTACGCGGACGAATTTTAGGCACCAAACCTATTCCAAGTCTTCGAGAAGTGTTTTTTGAGGTACGTCGGGAGGAAAGCCGCAAGCGAATTATGATGGGACGATCCGATTCAATCCCTGATGGATCAGCCCTTGCGGCAACCCGAGAGAATCAGTCTTCGTTAGAGCCAGCCGCTCTTGCTATTCGCGGGATACCACAGAACTCTCGTCGAGGACGCCCTTGGTGTGACCACTGCAAGAAGCCAGGCCACACGAAAGAAACATGTTGGAAGCTACACGGAAAACCCTCCGATTGGAAGCCAAGTCGTAACTCTGGAGATCGTGACAGCCGTGGAAATATTGCCACAGCAGAATCCGCAAGGTCTCAAAGCCAGGTTCCCTTCACTAAAGACCAACTGGAAACACTGCAACAGCTGATCAACCAGGCACAAATCTCGGCAGAAGGGTCATCACAGGGCACAAGGAATCTCGCACTCCATGTAGCCAAGTCACCGTCACCGTGGATAGTCGACTCAGGAGCCTCCGATCACATGACAGGTGATAGAATGCTATTTACAAGTTATATTCCATGTCAGGACTATCAAACAGTCCGAATAGCCAATGGTACACGTTCACAAGTGGCTGGAACAGGAACCATAAAGCTTTCAAAGACTCTTACCATCAACTCAGTTTTGTTTGTTCCTGACTTAGACTGTAACCTAATCTCTGTGAGCAAATTGACTAATGAACTCAACTGCGAGACTAAGTTTTTTGCTAAATCTTGTGTTTTTCAGGACTTGAGTTCGGGGAAGATGATTGGCAGTGCTGACCTATGTGCAGGCTTGTACCTTCTCAACTCAGCCACCACCTCAGTTTGCTCCCAGGCCAATAAAACAGATGTCAGCCCACAATGTTGGTCTGCCAATAGTCTAGAGTCCATGAGTCACACAAATAAAGATAGTGCAATCTTAATGTGGCACTATAGGTTAGGTCATCCAAATTTCATGTACTTGAAACACTTGTTTCCATCATTATTCATCAATAAAAATCCCAAGTTTCTTCAATGTGATATTTGCCAGTTATCTAAACACACCCGAAGCACTTACTCACCCCGTCCATACAAACCAACTCATCCATTCTCCCTCATCCACGGTGATATTTGGGGGCCAAACAAAATTCCAAATATCACCGGAGCAAGATGGTTTCTACTATTAATAGATGATCATACCCGTATAAGTTGGACATTCCTCATGAAAGACAAGTCAGAAACCAGCCAAATATTCAAAAACTTCCATAAGATGATCCAAACACAATTTCAAACAAACATCCAAATCTTCAAAACAGATAATGCCCGGGATTTCTTCAATTCCATCCTTGGTCCCTACCTCACATCCTATGGCATTGTTCATCAAAGTTTCTGCGTAGATACCCCACAACAAAATGGGGTGGCTGAACGCAAAAATCGACATATCCTAGAGGTGGCCCGATCCCTACTATTTCAATCCAATGTTCCCAAAAAATTCTGGGGTGAAGCAGTCCTCACTGCCACCTATCTCATAAATAGGATGCCCTCACGTATACTCACATTCAAAACCCCATTGGAAACTCTCCTAAAGTGCTACCCAAAATCACATTTGATCACACAAGTTCCCCTCAAAATTTTCGGATGCACTGCATTCATTCATATTCATTCTCATAATCGTAGTAAACTTGATGAAAGAGCACTCAAGTGCATCTTCATGGGGTATTCATCAAACAAAAAGGGATACAAATGTTTTTCACCTACCACAAACAAATTCTATCATACGATGGACATCACCTTCTTTGAAAACAAACCTTACTTCTCCAATTTCGAGCTTCAGGGGGAGATTAGCACACATGAACCACAAAATTGGGACTGGACTTCCCTCATTGACTATGGCTCACTTTCTCCTACTCTCTCTGGCCTACCTGATCCGAACATATCCTCATCAAGTCCAGAAAGCTCTCGGCCAAGTCCACCTCCTCCTCGGCCAAACATGTCTCCTCCACCAAGTCCATCTTCAGCCAATTCAATTCCATATCCCAATCATCTCACTCTTCCTAATGATGCCATAAAAGTATTTATCCGAAGAAAGCACTTGCCTGAACAAGGTCAGCAACATCATGACCCAATCCCGAGTTCAAGAAATTCTGAGACAACACAAGGTAAAGTGGATCTTAGTATGCAAATTGACGGTGAATATACAGAGAAGCCCGCGGAACAACACTCAGACTTAGAGCTGCCCATTGCTCAGAGAAAAGGAGTCCGGTCATGCACTAAGCATCCCATCTGTAATCACCTGACCTATGCAAACCTGTCCCAAAAGTTCAGGGCATTTGTGACAGCTCTCGACAAAATTCAGATCCCAACAACAGTTCAAGAAGCCCTACAAGTCCCGGAATGGCGAGCGGCAACCTTGGAAGAGTACAGTGCACTTGAAAAGAATGGAACATGGAGTCTAACACCTTTACCGCCGGGAAAGCATACGGTTGGATGCAAATGGATTTTTTCAGTCAAACAAAAGGCAGACGGAAGAATAGACAGATTCAAGGCACGATTAGTGGCAAAAGGATTCACACAGTCATACGGAATTGACTATCAGGAGACATTTGCACCTGTAGCCAAATTCAATACAGTACGTGTTCTACTATCTATTGCCGTAAACCAAGATTGGCCACTGCTCCAATTAGATGTGAAAAACGCATTCCTGAATGGAGATCTAGTAGAAGAAGTGTATATGGATATCCCTCCCGGGTTCGAGGATGATCACACAAAGGGAAAGGTATGCAAGCTCAGAAAGTCACTGTATGGGCTTAAACAATCGCCCCGAGCATGGTTCGACAGATTCACAAAAGTACTAAAACTTGATGGCTACACTCAATCTCAGGCCGACCACACATTGTTCATCAAACACTATACCGGCAACAAGGTAATAATCCTAATCGTGTATGTCGATGACATAGTACTCACAGGGAATCATGAAGAAGAAATACGGAGACTCAAGGCCCTCCTTTCCAAAGAATTTGAAATCAAGGACTTGGGACTCCTAAGATATTTCCTGGGAATGGAGGTAGCAAGATCAAGCAAAGGGATTTCAGTCTCTCAACGCAAGTATGTGCTAGATCTACTACAAGAAACCGGCATGAGTGGATGCCGACCAGCTGAAACCCCCATGGATCCCAACACGAAATTAAAACCTCGGACTGAAGAAAAATCAGTGGATACAGGGCAGTATCAACGCTTGGTAGGAAGACTAATCTACCTCACTCACACACGCCCGGACATAAGCTTTGCCGTAAGCCGTGTTAGTCAATTCCTAAACAATCCATCCGAAGATCATATGGAGGCAGTAACTCGCATTCTCAGGTTCCTTAAAAGGGATCCAGGGAAGGGACTATTATTCCAGAAGACAGCCAATCGGCTCTTAGAAATCTACACAGATGCAGATTGGGCAGGGTCTCCAAGCGACCGAAAGTCCACTTCAGGGTATTGCTCCTACGTCTGGGGAAATTTGGTCACATGGCGCAGCAAGAAGCAGCCAGTGGTAGCCCGCAGCAGTGCCGAGGCAGAGTTTAGGGCTTTAGCCCAGGGCATTTGCGAGGGAATATGGCTAAAACGACTACTGGATGAACTCAAAATTGCCATCTCAGGACCAATCCAGATGATGTGTGATAACCAATCAGCCATAGCAATTGCCAAGAATCCCGTCCACCATGACAGGATGAAACACGTGGAGATTGACAGACACTTCATCAGTGAGAAAATAGAAGGCAATATCATATCACTGAGTCATGTTCCATCACAACATCAAGTTGCAGACATTCTTACAAAGTCCCTCTTCAGGCCCAACTTCACGGAACTGAGCTCTAAGCTAGGTCTAATGAGTATATACCGCCTAGTTTGAGGGGGAGTGTTGAAATTCAAACTAGCCGAGTATTAGATAAGTGATAGGCTCCTAGAATCGTGGGATAATAGCTAAGGATCTATTGTAAGCTAATCCCTATAAATGTGTAAAGTAGTTCCTAATATCTAGGAGGTCTCTTAGGATAAGATCTTATCTTTTGCCTTTGTATAAATACCCTTCCGGTCCATTCAATTAATGAGAGGAAATTCAGATTATTCCAAACTTCACCTATATTAACTGCCGATTCTCAAATTCATTCATCCAAACCTTTGACCATATGTAAGGAGATTTTGTACAACAATAGATGACACAGAATTTTCAGGAGTATAGACTATAGAAGTATACCTTATCTTCAATGGAGGGGCAATATCTAGGCCCCTTAGCTTCAACCCACCCTCCATAAGTTGGAGTTTCATGCAAGTTTTCATTAATCAACTGGTGTGTAGCCTTTGTCGTACGGGTGAGATAGCAGCACATTTGTTCCCTTTCAATATGGAAATCAGGGTCAAAACTAAACCAGCTGACCTGTCAAAAATAATCCTTGACTTAGATTTAGACCACCAATCAGAATGCCATAAAATATGAACTATGAAAATCATTTGCCAAAAGAATAGCCAACTATCAACAATGCATCTATACTTTTAACAGGTTCAAGATTAAATGCCGCTGAAATTCTATACATTGTATCTCTATTTTTTTAACTATAAAAGGGAACTTGAGCAAACCTCACATATTGTTTATTTCAGTGTCTTAATTGGCATTCTCCATAGGAAGTTATATTTGAGGGTTTGAAAATAAATAATTCATCATCATAGTTTTTGTTGGATTTAGTTTCCTACAACTTCAATGCTAGCACAGATCTTGGTATTGAACATAAGTATTCCATTTGGTCATATTGCGAAACCAAATCTACAGGACCTACATATGGGATTAAATGGAAGAACCTCTTCATCACCATGCTGAGGCTCTAATCCTGAAAAATCTACAGTGCGAATGTCAACACGTGCTGGAGTTCCGGTCTTCAACCTATCAGTCTCAAATCCAAGTCGCTGTAAGCTTTCAGTGATTCCATATGAAGCTGACTCCCCAGCTCTTCCTGCAGGCATAGAAGTTCTACCGACCCAAATTTTACCACTCATAAAGGTGCCTGTTGTGAGAACAACGGAAGGAGCATAGAAGTCCATCCCGAAAAATGTGCGCACTCCTTCTATATCGTCATTCATTCCCAATATTACATCTGTCACCATGGCCTCTCTGATCGAAAGGTTTGGAGTGCTGAAAATAGCATAAAGTCAAAATTAATTAGTCAACAAATGGGAAGAAGTAGATGTGTTAATGTTAGAAATGCAATTTTGCTAGCATAATTCAGGTAGCTGACATTAAAATGAATGAACCGTGACAACTATACTTTAAGAAAAAATGGTCTCTATCAAATATGTTCATTGTGGAAAACTCCAATAATAACAAATGCACATACCGACAATTTACCTTAAATCCGTATATAAAAGTAACAAGGCAAAGGCGTTGCAAACATACATTATTTCTTTCCTTTTAGCATTTCTATGCACGTTGCCCATTCTTAAAATACTTGTTTATTGGCATCATAGCAGATATAACATGAAAATATCGTACTATTTGGTTTAGCTATATGTGATAGACTATATCAGCAATTATTTATACAACTAAAAGTTTCCGGTCAGGAATGATCAATAATAGTTCATTCCCAGTACTTGCAAAGAAATAAGAAAATGTTCAACTTCCGTAACTGGCTGCATCAACAGTTTTCCAGACCGTTAATTATTCAGTGCGTTTCTTAAGAAGACATTTATTAAGAAATGGAGGCTATTGAGTAGTCAACTCTAAGCCAACCTATGGTGCGTCCAACTACATGGAGGGCATGCTGATGAAAAATGACGGATGTTATTGGAAACATTATAATCAACTGTTATAAGGAGAATTTTCTACATTGTAAAGCACGCCACAGTCATCATGCATATGTATCTAGAAAGTGATAGCTGAAACTTTGCAATAAAAATGCATGATTGAGACATCAGCCACAGAGATACAATCAAGTAGATAACTTCATTACTTAAAAATAAAATAAAATGAAAAAATGCATGTGTCGGACCATAAGATGCTAGTTCCATCTTCAACAAAAAAATAGATCCAAAAGAAGATGCAGAAAGGTAAGGAAAACTTGCTTCTCCACAATTTTCTTCATTTCCATAGCATATTCTCGTTTATCAGTTTGTGCACGCAATGCCCGAACAGCAGGGCCTCTTGAGACATTGAGAACACGTTTTTGTAAATAGCACCTAAGCATGAGCAAAAAAAAAAAACAAAGAGAGAGACAGTCACAGTTATACAACGCATACAAGTAAAATGAGAGATGAGAAACAAAACGTTCTCTGCCAAACAAATAGTAAGGCAATTAAAAAATGATAAACCTTCATGAAAGAAAGCACTGTTAAAATTAACTATAAAAATAAACAGTAAAATGCAGGAGGAAAAAAGAAAAAGGAAAACAAAGAAAAATAATAATAAACTACGAACATTACTTGACGATAAATGCATCATTTTTGACCTTGTCAAAAATTTAGCATGGGAAATCATAGGCTAGATGTTGAGTTACCTGTCAGCAATCTTCCCAATTTCACCACCAAGGGCATCCACTTCATGCACAAGCTGCGATTTAGCGGGTCCACCTACTGCTGGATTGCAAGGCTGTAACAATCTTATCTCAGTAAGAAGCTCTTCAAATTTTTGGAATCACATTAAAAACTAAACCCATTTCCAAGCATCAAAAGACATTAAATAAAACTTAGTTTAACCTGCCATGCAATTCGATCGATATTCAAAGTGAGGAGAAGAGTCTTTGCCCCTAAATGAGCAGAGGCAAGAGCAGCCTCACAGCCAGCGTGCCCTCCTCCAACCACAATAACATCATATCTCTCATCCAGTGTTCCACTAGATAAGTCTGCAAAACGTTGAAAAATAAATAAATCCATAGCAGAAATAAAGGAAACGAAATTTTCATCTTATATTCAACAAGAAAATAGAGCATCATCCACAATCTTCTTTTTTTTTTTTTTTTTTTTTTTTTTTTTTTTTAAAAAAAAAAAATTTTTTTTTTTTTTTTTTATTTAAAAAAAAAAAAAAGGGAACCCCCCCAATTTTTTTTTTTTTTTTTTTTTTTTTTTTTTTTTCTCTTTAAATAAACAGAGATCTTTATTGATCGAGAAAAAAAAAGGGAGAAAAAAGAGGAAGAGATTTTCCTCAAATCACCCTGATCCAAAATAAAGAGAAAGTCAAAAAATGGAGATAACCAAGAAGCCAAACGAAAAAAACTACAGGATAAGAGCTACAAAAAAGGGGCCAGCTCCTGATAAAATTCGAAAAAACCAGCTTGCCAAATTCTTTATCCCTGTAAACCCACAAAGAAGCCCAAAATATAATCGTCTCCCATAGGACTAACTCATCTTCCTCACGGTCTTCAAATACTCTGATGTTCCTTTCTAACCAGATACCGCAAAGAGCAGCTAAAACTACAACCTTCCACAAAATTGCCCCCTGTGACTGAAACCAGATGGAGGAGCTAAAACAAGCAAATCTATGCAGTTCCTCGGCAAGACCCACACAACGCCAAACTCCTTTAAAAGATATGACCATAGACGATGAGAAAAGGGGAAATGGAGAAATAAATGATCAGCTGTTTCACCATCTTTTTTGCATCATCCAAAATCTTATAAGTCCGGAAAGTGTTCAAATTCTCCACATTTTCTCTTGAAACAAAAACGGAGCATCATCCACATTCTTCTAGAAAAAACGAAATGTAATAATCATGCACATTTAGGTACTCAAAGAATTGCATTCTGCGACGTAAGTGAACCTACAAAGTAAAAGCTTTCAAAAAATGTAAAATAAAAAAAATTGTAAGAGACCAGAACCTAAAAGCTTAAAAATTCTCATCAACAAAGAACCAAAACTACTCTTTCGAATTCGTTTCTCTTAACCAGCTAATTCAATAAACAGAACCTAGAGAAAAGGCGCAGGACACATATTCGAAGTAATGCCTAGCAGAGAAAACGAAGCCAGAACTGGAAAATTCTCATCTTGAAAGTGCCCAAACTACGAGAGAAAACGAAATAAAGAATCTAAAAACTACTCTTTCAAGTCCGCAAACCAGTCCGAAGAAACGCCAAGCAGAGGAAATGAAACGTACCTGGGGAGGCGGAGGCCGCAACGGCGAAACTCCGGGAGGAATTGAGGCAGAGGAAGGGACGGGAGTGGCGGAGATTGCGGCGGAGGAAGATGGCATGGCGACGAGGCCGGAGAGTAAAAGCGAGGCGAGGAGAGGGAAAGAGGAACGGAGCGAAGGAGGAGAGAGAAGTGAGGCGAGAGAGGGCTTGTGTCGCCATTGGAGAAGAGATGAGGGAGCTTGGTTTGGTTGTGGAAGAGGAAATGGAAATGAAAATGGAAATAGTGGTTAATTCAATGGAATCTGATTCTTCTCCATTCCATTCCAATTTTCAAGGATGGCTTTCTCTGTGGAATGATTTTCGAATTATCCGTTTAAGTTTGAACCTTTACACTTTGGTAAGGGAGGGGAGAGTCGAGGGAGGAAAAAAATAAAAATAAATAAATAAATAAATAAAAACAACAACAACAATTATAATTTAGATCAATTACAAAATTTCTACTTATTTATACCCCTTATAACACTTTATCATTGATATTTAAAACATAACATCCATTATTTCTAAACAATAAAATATTAATAAAAAAGTCATCCGTTAAGTTTTTAATTGAAATTGACATTTAATTTACTATTTTGAAGATATTTTAGAAATTCTATAATTTAAAACTTAATTTATATTTAAACTAGTTTAAATATTTTAAAAAATTTATTAAAATTTTTTATTCTAGGAAAAAAGATTTATAAAATTTTTAACTTACATTCAATCAATAATGAATTTATCATAATTAAAAGTTTAAATTTAAATTAGTTTTAAATTCAAACTAAACTTTAACCATAGAGTTACCAAAATACCCCAAAATAATAAATTAAATGTCAATTTCTATTAAAAAATATAACAGATTAGGTTTGTTTGTTAACATTTTATTGTTTAGGGAGAATATATGTTACTTTTAAAAATTAAAGGTAAAATGTTACAATGGGTATAATTCAAGAAATTTTTTTTATAATTAATCCTAAATTATTAACACTGTAAATTCCTATAAATTTTATTATCTTGATTCTGAATTTTTAAATTTAGTGTATTAATTCATGATCTTTTGATTTTTGACTATCATATGAATATTGTTTAAATAATTTCATGAATATTTAAACCCAATATCGATGATTGCTTCTATGATGCTCATAAAATATATATAATGAGGCGATAATGTATTTGTCGAACAATAATCTCCATTTTCATGAATAAGTCACATTAGACTCTTTGGCGATTTAATAGAAAGTAAACCTCAATAGAATTTTCCAAAAGCAATTCTTTAGTACAAAAATCCTCGAGAGGATTAGCACCTTACGATGTATGATGTTTCTTTCAAATAAGTGTATTAAAATACCTTAGAATTATGCCACTTTTTATTTTAGGAAGAAATTGATTTAAATTGGCTTAATTAAGTTAATTTAGTTTGAAGAAATGTTTAGGAAGATATTTAGATCAACAGACTATTATAGACAGTTTTGAATTAAGGGTCTAGATTAGGTCTAAAGTTGATCAGTGGTGTAGAATGTATTTAGGTTTGACCAATGGTGTGGATCAAGCTCACAAGATCAAATGGTTGATATTAAAGATGATTTTGATTAGATGGTGTAGGATATGATTTGACTAGATCAACGGTGAAGATTAATTAGAGAATGAATGGATGGTTGAGATTCAATAGAAGGAAAAATATTAACTAAAATTTTAAAAGATGGATAAATGGAGTATGCATGGCTTTCATGCAAGCTTAGACAAAGTTTATGTGTAGTCTTAAAGGAGAAGGGATGTCACCTTCAAAATACATAAAGCATGCAATATGAGACAAACTTTGTACTAACCAATCAAGTAGCCCAATTTTCACTCTCCCTCTCTCTTCTTTGTCCCTCAAGTTCCCCCTCTCTCTTTTCTTCTCTGAAATCCCAGCTGATTTGAAGAAAAAATTGTTCTAAATATGCCCTCCCATAATCCCTCATATATAAAGAAAAAGATGTAACTAAAAACCCTACTTCTTCCCTCACTCATTTTTCTCTCTCACTCTCATTTCTCTAAGCTAGAAACTCCTAAATATCTCCCTCTCAGCCACGCCTTTTCACAGCCCAACTCTTATTGATTTCACCCTCAAGTCTTAAAGACATCACTTCTAAGGAGCTTGAATGGAGTAGTCTACAAATTAGAGATGCTAGAAAGGAGATCAAGGAGGTTAGGAGCTCCAAAGGAAAGGAGAACTCCAACCAAGAGAAGAAACATGATAAATAATTGGCTAATGGTAGGCGAAACAAGTGTGATTGTGGACTGATTGCACACGAAACAGGTGAGTACAAACCTCACCTACATCATGAATGTGTTTTTAAAAGATATGTTTCATAGTACCAATGATTAGTATGATGCAATGTATGTCCCTTTAAAAGAGTTACAATGTTATTCTTTTGTGATATGAATGATAAGTGTAAAATGATGCTGCATCTTAAAAGTATTTGCAATGATATATTCTCGTGACATAATTATAATTACATGTTCTAGGATAAGAAGCTAAGGTAATAAAGACCAGTTAAGTACCGTACCGCCCTCCGGCCTATGAGGATGGGAGGTTTTCCTTTGGCTCGTGGGGATGGGAGATTTAACAAGGATAATTTATGACATTGGGTGTAGTTGGACAAAATGTTTGGGTCGCTCCCCCACTCCCCATTGGTTGTACGTAAAGGGTACGAGCACAGGACCCTAAAGTAATAAAATAAATTTTCATAATTAAGCATAAAAGGTCATGCATATTTATATGATGTTTATCTATGCAAATATGTTGTTAGGATATTTGTACTTACTAGGCTTTAGCTCATTAAGTTGTTCATGCTGTAGGTAAATTGGGTAATTACCCCCACCTCAAATACTATGGATGGGTTGGCTAGCCGGAGTAGGAAGATGGAGACAATGATATTGGATACCACTACGTAAATAATTTTCGCACTAAGATAATAAGTCTATTTCAAAGTTTTAAGTTAAGTCATTTAATCAAATAATAAATATCTTATAAAAAAAAGATATGTATATGTTTTAACAAGTTTGAGTTTCTTTTATTAGAGCTAGAATAAAATTTATTGAGCGAGTAACCTCAAGTTTTATACTCATGGTGTTTTCTCCTAAAGACTATATATACTAGGTAGCATATTAATATACTAGGTAGTTAAATATATGAAATTCACTTTTAAAGTTATAGTCACTTAAATGAATAAATATTTTCTAATACGTAATTTGTCCAATTACGCTTTTATACAAGGAAGTAAAGCACGTTTCAATTTAATCCTCTAAAAAAAATCATTTTTCTCAATTAGCTTTGATGTTCAAGTCTATTTACCAACATCCTGAGTGGAAACTTTTAAGGTTTATGATGAAAGAAATTTTATGCAAAAAGAATATAAAGAAAAAAACTTGAAATTTTAATAACCAAGAGCTTAATCATAGTCAAACAAGTATTTTAATGTAGGATAAACATGTTTAAATTAGCTAAGTAGCAGTCTGAAAAGTCAGGTCATTATATTTGATCTCTACATGCACGCTAAAATTAACGATAACTTCCAAAATTTCACATAAATCATAACGTCCTTGATGAATAGAAGTTGAAATTTTCATAAATTTAGTTATAGTAAATGCTAATTATTCTCTTTACTATTATTATAAATCATCAAAACTAAAACAGTTTGCATTCAATGTGACTATTTCGTCTGGAATGTGATTCTTTCTAATAAATTTCAGAAGTCATTTGCCAATTTGAATGGGTACGGATTAAAGTGATCAAAAATTAATTAAGGCATTGTTCATTTCATGTTTTAAGTCATTACTCAAGTTATATTGCTATAGTGTTTTCCTTCACATAATTTCAAATTTAACTTTTTTTACTACTATATTTTTCTCTTACATACACAACTTAAATCATTATTTGAGTTGTGTAAATGAAAAAATTTAGAGACCAAAGTGAATAATTAACATAATTTAGAGACCGATAAAGCTAATTACCCTATTTTTGCACACTTTTTTTTTTTTTGTGGTGAAATAGTCAACCTATTTTTGCGAGCTATCAAATTGGTCCTTTAAGTATTTAATTTTGAAAAACAATCCAATGTATCGAACAACGAAGAAAATCGGTAAATGCTACCTTAAAAAAAGAAAAAAAGAGGGGAAAAAAAAAGAAAACCTGTGCCAGAATCCTGCAACCAAAGAAAAAAAGGCAAAAGTATCAAATGTTTATTGAGTTCATGGAATTTTCAAAGTATAGTTAAATACTTTTTTCTTGTTGGAGTTTTGATTACTTTGATTAGTTACCTATGGGAGGTGTTGGGGCAGTTCTTTTTTGTGGCTGTGGGCGTTTGGTAATTGTTAATTTTTGTACATTTTGACATCGTTTATTTCATCGATTCGAGTTCTTAATTTTAAGTTTTTACAGTTAAAAACTTTTAAAAAATATCACATCTAACTTTTTCTGTTACAGTTAAATTACTCAGATAAAGAATGAGTGGGTGGGGATGGAAGCTAACAACGTGATCAATTGCCGTAATCTTCGCTCTATACAAGTGCTTCTGTTGAGTCTTGGAATATCTTAATGCAAGTGAATGCACATTGTTGGAGATGGTGTCATTTTCAGAAAGAGCGCTCACACAAGAGTTTCAGAATAATTATCATGTTACACAGAATACTTCATAATTCTATAATTGCTTGAAATTGGGTTAAGAAGCGGCCCCATTCACTTCGCTGATTCGAGTTTAGAATTTGAGTTTAGATGTGACTTTATATGAGAGCTTTTTACTGTATAGCAAAAAAGTTAGATGTGATTGTTTGTGAGAGTTTTTTACTGTAGAAAAACTCGAATTCTAAACTCGAATCAGCGAAGTGAACGATACTTAAGCCTACACGTTTTGAAGCCTAGAACATCAGGTATGCCTCACTTCTTTTATGGTTATAACCAAAAAAAAAAAAAAATTGCCTAATTATTTATGTTATAGAAATAAATGACTCCTCTCTTTTTCTATGATATAGGGAAGGAATCCTAAAGTTCGTATGTAATGTCCTGGAAATACAATTAATTATATTTAATTTTTTTATTATAATAAATTTTTTTTACATAAAATTATATTTTAATTTAAATTAAAAATTCACACAATATTTTACTTTTACTTTTCTTTTATGGTTATAACCAAAAAAAAAAAAAAATTGCCTAATTATTTATGTTATAGAAATAAATGACTCCTCTCTTTTTCTATGATATAGGGAAGGAATCCTAAAGTTCGTATGTAATGTCCTGGAAATACAATTCCAAAGTAGGTGGATAATCCCTCTCACTATTGTTTTGGATCAACCTCAGATCAACCACAAAACTGTATATTTTAGAAATGTTAGGGCAATTATCCTCTGATAATTACAGTGGGATAAAAAATATGACAAGTATATATATCCTGAAGGACTAATTGACTATTTTTAAAACAATTAGACGATTAAAAAAGTATGAAAATTGAGATTTCTTATTTCTATTGAACAACATATGAAGAGTTGCCCATTTATATTTGTCGTTAAATCGTGTGTCGTTTGGCATGTGACGGTCCTTTATAAATGACTGTCATTTTTGTTTATTAACAACCAAACCTTTTATGTCGTATTTTCTTTGTTGTCGTTTTTTTGAATTTTTGTAACGTTTTTGTTTCCCATTATCGTTTTTAAGGGGTTTTTTTTAACCATGTTAAGTTTTCCAAATCGTTATTGTTCTTTATGCGCTCATTTATAATGCTGTCTTTCCTTCTTTCCTTTTAGTGGGTTTTGTCTTCTTGTTATTTTATAATATTGTTGTTGTTGTTGTTTTTTCGATGTCGCTTGTTATTTTTATTATCATTTTTTAAATTAGCATTGGTACAGTAAAATATTCTAAAAAATAATTATATTAAATTTTTTATTATATTAAAAAATTTTCATATAAATTCACATCTTACTTTAAATTACAAATTAAAATTAACAAATTAAACAGGTTCTTAATGTTCACACCGTTCACACCGTATGTTCCTTTTGTAAACAAACGCGTTAGTGGAAATATGTCGTACAAACGTTGCCTAACTCGTACAGACGGTTGGAAGGCAAAAAGAAATTTTGACAAGTCTTACTTTTTATGAATCTCTGACAAGTCTCAACATATGTGATTTGGGAGTTCGGACTCATTCGTTTAAAACGTCGCTTATTTTATTAATTTAAGTTTAAATTTTAAATTTTATTATAGTAGAAAATTTTAAAAAATAATTATATTTAATTTTTTTATTACAATAAGAAATTCTCATATAAAATTACATTTTAACTCGAATCAGTGAATTAAACGAGCTCTTAAACTTTTATTCCTTACTTAGTTTATGCCAAAAACTCAATTGCAATGTTCTTATCTAAATCACGTAAAATTTTAAGATATTTATAGAATAATCAATTCTAATTCTAAGAAAGCAAAATCATCATGAAAATAAATAAATAAAGAAAGCATTTTCAGCGCCGATGGTTTCATCAAACTCCCTTACATCGGCCACAATCCCAATTTCTACAAGCCATGGATGAAAGCCACGTGGCGTCTTTCAAACGCAGCTCAAACTTTCAGCTACATGACAAAAAAAAAAAGGAAAAAGAAAGGGCAGGGCAATTTGGGGAATACGAATTTGTCTGAGACGAGAAAGATTTTGTATTGTACGAGTGGTAGTCACAAAAACTTTGTCGCGACGCGGAGTAAGGGAGGGAGGGAGAGAGAGAGAGGGGTTTCACCTGACCCGGTTCTAGAAAAGAGGACAAAAGTGGTCCTGTTTAGACGATCGAGGATTTGCGACACGTGTAAATCTCCATTTGTCTTGAACACGTGGCGTCTCGTTAGGGAGAGGGGCATGCTGGCACGTGAAGTAGGCCCCGCACTCGGATCTAGCGCGCCCTCTTGCCAGCTGTTTAAAAAATAATTATATTTAATTTTTTTATTATAATAAATTTTTTTTACATAAAATTATATTTTAATTTAAATTAAAAATTCACACAATATTTTACTTTTACTTTTTTTAATTACCTTAAAGTTTGATCATCTCACGCTTTATGAAAAAAAAAAAACTATTGCTAGTGTATATAACACGTGTCCTAACATAAATTTTCCAACATATATCCTTTTGATATTTGAAATAATAAAACAGTGCAATTATATATAACGTCAAGTGGTGGGCTCCTTCACGTGGGGGCAATTATTCCGGCCTCCTTTCAATTAGACGATTAAAAAAGTATGAAAATTGAGATTTCTTATTTCTATTGAACAACATATGAAGAGTTGCCCATTTATATTTGTCGTTAAATGCGTGTGTCGTTGGCATGTGACGGTCCTTTATAAATGACTGTCATTTTTGTTTATTAACAACCAAACCTTTTATGTCGGTGGGCTCCTTCACGTGGGGGCAATTATTCCGGCCTCCTTTTATCTTCAAATTCCATGAAATTTTTTCAGCACATAATATTCACGCGATATTTTTATTTGCGATAATTAATATTCACGCGGTATGTTCCTTTTGTAAACATGTGGGCACTACATGTCAAACGTTGACTACTCATAGTCTTCCCAACAGTTTGGAAGGCAAGAAGAAATTTCTCAACACATAACATGTCTTGCATTTCATGGATTCTTTTATGTCGTATTTTCTTTGTTGTCGTTTTTTTGAATTTTTGTAACGTTTTTGTTTCCCATTATCGTTTTTAAGGGGTTTTTTTTAACCATGTTAAGTTTTCCAAATCGTTATTGTTCTTTATGCGCTCATTTATAATGCTGTCTTTTTTCTTTCCTTTTGGTGGGTTTTGTCTTCGTGTTATTTTATAATGTTGTTATTGTTATTTTTCCGATGTCACTTGTTACTTTTATTATCATTTTTTAAATTAATATTGATACCGTAAATTTTTAAAAAAAATAATCACATTATTTGGTCGAATTTGAAGTTATACTCTAGTGCGCGCGTTTTTTTTTCCCCTGCTTTTCTGTTTTATTTTTATTTATTTTTTTATTTTACAGTTTCAGCTTTTCATAGTAATAGATAAAGCAGTGTTCAAACTAATATGATTCTGAACGGTTGTCTTTTGTGTAATGTAGACCAATTCAAGGCTATAAATGACGAGGGGATGCCAATGTACCAGAGGCCATTCATGAAGGGTAAATTATACATTCATTTCACTGTTGAATTTCCGGACTCCTTGAGCCCAGAACAATGCAAGGCTCTGGAGACTGTGCTGCCCCCAAGGTCAGGACAGCAGCTTACAGACATGGAAATAGACGAGTGCGAGGAGACCACGCTGCATGATGTTAACATTGAGGAGGAGATGCGCCGCAAGCAAGCACAGGCCCAGGAAGCATATGATGAGGACGACGATATGCATGGTGGTGCCCAGAGGGTGCAATGTGCGCAGCAATGATGTGGCTGCTGCTTTAACAAATTATTTGATAAAATAAACAGTTAATTTGATTCTCGTTTTATTAGTAGGGATTTTATTCTCATAGTAGGGATTTTATTCTCTGTCATAGGGCTATTAGAATCTTGTCTTTCTGGTTTGGATTTTTTACTTAAATGCTTGCAAATGGTTGTGCCTGGAGTTGAGAAATTGTAACTCTCAGACCTATTAAGAAATATGCATGTTTTCTCCATCTAGTTTGTTACTGTTACTATATTACTGTTTTAGGAGATGCATGAAATGGTGCATGCTTTAGGATGCTTTGATCTGCATTACTAATGTAGCGTGGATGGCATGCACATGCTGATCGGGTAAAGAAAAAAAAGTTCAGCCGATGACAGCTAATGCTTTAACCTAAAGTAAAAAAAAAGAGAAAATGTCAGGCTGGTATGAAGTATTGTGCAAATATATTGCGTTATAGGTTTTAAAAAACAGTTATATTTAATTTTTTTATTATAATAAATTTTTTTTACATAAAATTATATTTTAATTTAAATTAAAAATTCACACAATATTTTACTTTTACTTTTTTTAATTACCTTAAAGTTTGATCATCTCACGCTTTATGAAAAAAAAAAAACTATTGCTAGTGTATATAACACGTGTCCTAACATAAATTTTCCAACATATATCCTTTTGATATTTGAAATAATAAAACAGTGCAATTATATATAACGTCAAGTGGTGGGCTCCTTCACGTGGGGGCAATTATTCCGGCCTCCTTTTATCTTCAAATTCCATGAAATTTTTTCAGCACATAATATTCACGCGATATTTTTATTTGCGATAATTAATATTCACGCGGTATGTTCCTTTTGTAAACATGTGGGCACTACATGTCAAACGTTGACTACTCATAGTCTTCCCAACAGTTTGGAAGGCAAGAAGAAATTTCTCAACACATAACATGTCTTGCATTTCATGGATTTCTGCCTTCTCGAAAACCTCAAAACTAGAGAGCTTTCATTTTGTAAGAAACACAAAAGCTGAGAAAGAGAGAATTTTTGCTCGTAGTTTTGATCCTAGGAGTGACTTGCGTCTGATATTGATATGGATGCTGGTGGAGTTTCTTCTTCTGCTTCTTCTCTCTTCACTTCAAAGAAATATGATGTTTTTGTGAGTTTTAGAGGTGAAGATACGCGCAATACTTTTACAAGTCATCTTTACGCTGCTTTGGAGCGAAAGAAAATCAAGACCTACATAGATGAGAAAGGTCTTGAGAAAGGAGACAGAATCTCGCCTGCACTTCTTGAAGCAATTCGGATCTCAAAGATTTCAATTATAGTTTTCTCAAAAGATTATGCTTCATCATCATGGTGCTTAAATGAGCTTGTGCATATACTTGAATGTCACGAAGAAAATAAAGATAGGGTTATATACCCATTTTCTACAACGTAGATCCCCATTATCGTTTTTAAGGGGTTTTTTTTAACCATGTTAAGTTTTCCAAATCGTTATTGTTCTTTATGCGCTCATTTATAATGCTGTCTTTTTTCTTTCCTTTTGGTGGGTTTTGTCTTCGTGTTATTTTATAATGTTGTTATTGTTATTTTTCCGATGTCACTTGTTACTTTTATTATCATTTTTTAAATTAATATTGATACCGTAAATTTTTAAAAAAAATAATCACATTTAATTTTTTTAATATAATAAAAAATTCTAATATAAATTTATATCTTAACTCAAATTAAAAATTTATATTAACGAATTAAACAGCCTTTTAATATTTATACAGTATGTTCCTTTTGTAAACAAACGCGTTAGTGGAAATATGTCGGCACTACATGACAAACGTCGACCAACTAGTCTTCCCTACAGTTGGAAGGCAAGAAGAAATTTCTCAACTTATGACAAGTCTTGCTTTTTTATGAATCTCTGACAACATATGTGATTTGGGAGTTCGGACTCTCTCCACAGATCACTCTCTCTAGTTTGTTTCAATCACTTTTATAATTTCGAACCATTCGTTCAAAGCGTCGTCTATTTTATGTTTTAAAGATAACATGGACATAGTGCAGAAGTGGAGAGTTGCTTTAATGGATTCGGCCAATCTTTCAGGTTGGGATTCTCAGAACACCAGGTAATTAGTTGCAATCGATTCTAACATATATTCTATTTACAGTGTTATTAATTACTTATGCCAAAATAAATACCATGAAGAAGCTATCATTTTTTTCGGGATAAAATCATTTTAGTATCTCGTGTGATATAGAAATATGCTCTTAATATATATTATTGTTAATAATATTAAAACGGTACCTTAACATTTTTAAAAATATCCTCTTAATATTTTGAAGTGATTTTTGAGACGTAAAATGATCTTAATCATGCATTTTTTATTTTGTTGTTTTCTTTTAAATATTTTATTATTTTAAAATATTTTCAGATTTTTAAAAAATATTGATTTCTATCTAATTAAGAAGAATGGTAGTTTAGACATTACATTTTTAAAAATCAAGGTATCAAAAAGATGTTTTAAAAACATTGAGGTACCGTTTAATATTATTAAAAATATATGATATCAATAGCATGTTTTGCTATAATACAGGGTATCAAATTGATTTTATCTTTTTTTTTTTCTTTTTCATTACACTAATTTCAGTCCAGTCATATGTTTTTTTAATAGGAAACAGATCAACCATACATGAACTATGATATAACCCCCATTTCACAGCATTTTAGTTTCTAAAACAATAGTTGACAGAAAACATAAAAGAAGATCTCGATTAATACCATACATGAACTATTTTGTTGTTTTCTTTTAAATATTTTATTGTTTTAAAATATTTTCAGATTTTTAAAAAATATTGATTTCTATCTAATTAAGAAGAATGGTAGTTTAGACATTACATGTTTAAAAATCAAGGTATCAAAAAGATGTTTTAAAAATGTTGAGGTACCGTTTTAATATTATTAAAAATATATGATATCAATAGCATGTTTTGCTATAATACAAGGTATCAAATTGATTTTATTTTATTTTTCTTTTTCATTACACTAATTTCAGTTCAGTCATTTTTTTTTTTTAAATAGGAAAAGATAAACCATACATGAACTATGATATAACCCCCATTTCACAGCATTTTAGTTTTTGAAACAATAGTTGACAGAAAACATAAAAGAAGATCTCAATTCATTCATAATACCAAACATTAGGCTTTTAGTCTAAGTCCTTACAGAGCTCTCACGTGAGTGATTTTCCCAAGTTCAGGTGCCAGTGTTCCTTCCAAAGAAAAACCACTCGCATTCCTGCAATAGCAGTGGAGCACAACATTAAAACCACAATCTACTATTCTCAGAAAACATCTTAACAAACATAAAGAAGAAAAAACTTCTTACAGCATTTGAACTTTGCCCTCTTCACAATTAACCCCCCCACCACAAGCAAGGACAATCATCACCATGATTCCAAATCTCCTAAGCACCAAAAGAATCACAATTATCCCTCACCCGGAATGCCAACAAAAGGGTTCCTATATTTCCATACAAATTTCAAAAAAAAAAAAAAAAAGAAAAAAAAAAAACCACAAACACAAACACAAACAACTCTTTTTTACACCATTAATGATTATTTCGTAAGTGGACTATAAATAGTCACATTAGCTATTCTTAAGAACACTTGAATATTTGATAATTGAATACAAAATTGAGTGTTCTCTCCAACTTGGAGATTTTTTTCTTGTGGGATTTCTTGGATAGATTTGGAATTTTATGCCCCATCTTCCATCTGAGTTGGACCAGTAAAATCATGTTTTATCCATTCTTTTGCATCAGCTTAGAATTCCGCAGTGAGTTTAGGTTCAATAGACAGACTATAAATTATTTACATATTCTCTAAATTATTTACATATTCCCATCTTTAATTACGTTAGTTTAGTTCAAAATTCACTAACAACATTTTATCCTTTTTTTAAGATCTGTGGCCCCTCAAATTTAAATTTGTCTTGATCACGATTTTTATTATTTTTATTACCTTAAAGTTTGATCATCTCACGCTTTATGAAAAAAAAAAAAAAAACTATTGCTAGTGTATGTAACACGTGTCCTAACATAAATTTTCCAACATATATCCTTTTAATCTTTGAAATAATAAAACAATGCAATTATATATTACGTCAAGTGGTGAGCTCCTTCACGTGGAGGCAATTATTCCGGCCTCCTTTTATCTTCAAATTCCATGAAATTTGTCCGGAAATTAAGCACATAATATTCACGCGGTATGTTTTTTCTTTTTTGTGATAATTAATATTCATGCGGTTTATATATATATATATACATATATATATATAGAGTTCGTAAGAAGATTTCACACAGTTTTTTACTTATACTTTTTTTTATTACCTTAAAGTTTGATCATCTCACGCTTTATGAAAAAAAAAAAAACTATTGCTAGTGTATATAGCACGTGTCCTAACATAAATTTTCCCACATATATCCTTTTGATCTTTGAAATAAAAAAACGCAATTATATATTACGTCAAGTCGTGGGCTCCTTCACGTGGAGGCAATTATTCCTGCCTCCTTTTATCTTCAAATTCCATGAAATTTCTTGCTTTTCATGAAAAATTTCTCAACACATAACAAGTCTAGCTTTTCATGAATCTCTTCTGCCTTCTCAAAAACCTCAAAATTAGAGAGCTTTCATTTTGTAAGAAACACAAAAGCTGAGAAAGAGAATTTTTGCTCGTAGTTTTGATCCTAGGAGTGACTCGTGTCTGATATCGACATGGATGTTGGTGGAGTTTCTTCTTCTGCTTCTTCTACTTCAGAGAAATATGATGTTTTTCTGAGTTTTAGAGGTGAAGACACGCGTAATACTTTCACAAGTCATCTTTACGCTGCTTTGGAGCGAAAGAAAATCAAGACCTACATAGACGAGAAAAGTCTTAAGAGAGGAGACAAAATCTCATCAACACTTCTTGAAGCTATCCGGATCTCAAAGATTTCAATTATAATTTTCTCAAAAGATTTTGCTTCATCATCATGGTGCTTAAGTGAGCTTGTGCATATACTTGAATGCTACGGAGAAAATAAACATATGGTTATACCCATTTTCTACAACGTAGATCCCTCCCATATACGGAAACAAGAAGGAAGCTATAGAGAGGCATTTCTAAAACATGAAGAACGTTTTAAAGATGACATGGACAGAGTGCGGAAGTGGAGAGTTGCTTTAACGGAGTCGGCCAATCTTTCAGGTTGGGATTCTCGGATCACCAGGTAATTAGTTGCAATCGATTCTAACATATATTCTATTGACAGTGCTATTAATTATTTATGCCGAAATAAATACCATGGATAAATTTTTATTATCGTTACTGTCATTTTTTCTCGGGACGAATTCATTTTTTTAATAATATCTCGTGTGATATAGAAATATGATCTTAATGCCTATTATTTTTATTTTATTTTATTTATTTGCTTTTCCTCTTAATACTGGCTGTAAATATGATTTTATTGTTTCTTTACAGCAATAAATCCATAATAAGAGGTTTCAATGTTTCATTGAAAGCCCTGATTAGTATTTACAAAAAAAATATATATGTTACAACATTTTAGTTTATTTTGTCATTTTACATCAAAAAAGTCAAAAGAACAATTTTGGTAAATCGTCAATAGAACAATTTTGATTCTTTTCTGGAAAATCTTGAATATTTGATAATTGAATACAAAATTGAGGAAGATTTTTTTCTTGTGGGATTTCTTGGATAGATTTAGAATTTTATGTTCCGTCTTCCATCCGAGTTAGGCCAGTAAAATCATGTTTTATCCATTCTTATGCATCAGTTTAGAATTCCGCAATGAGTTTATGTTCAATAGACGGACTATAAATTATTTACATATTCTCTAAATTAAAGCAGTATGCATATATGTCCCATCTTTAATGACGTTAGTTTAATTCAAAATTCACTAACAACATTTAATCCTCTTTTCAAGATCTGTGGCCTCTCAAATTTTAAATTTGTCTTGATCACGATTTTTATTATTTTTTAAAAGATATGTAGTGATCTTCGGAATTTAAAAAATAAAATAAAATAAACCTGCAAGGAAAATCCAAAATGTGATCAAAGTGTTAAAAGCTTAATCTGAACTGTGCTAGAACTAGTTGGTTCCAGTATCATAGTTGTAAAAAATATACGTAATTAATTCGTAATTAATTTGATTTGTTTCGTTGCTCATTCTTACTAAACACCGTTTGCACCTTTATATTTTAGGCCTGAGTCAAAATTAGTTGAAGCAATTGTAGAAGATGTTTTGAGGAAATTGAATCGTGGATCGTCATCAAATTTTATTCCTAAGGGTCTCATTGGGATTGAGAGACAGATTGCAGAAATTAAATCATTATTAAGTGTTTCTTCTCCAAAAGTATGCATTGCAGGCATTTGGGGAATGGGCGGCATCGGTAAAACTACACTTGCCCAAGTCATATTTGATCAACTCTCTTCTCAATTCGAAGCTTGTTGCTTTGTTGCAAACGTGAGGGAAGAATCGGGGAAGGGATCATTGATTAACTTAAGAAATAAGCTTCTTTCTGAATTATTAAGGGAAGAAAATCTAAATGTGGGAACCCCATCTCTAGGACCAACTTTTGTCAAAGAGAGGCTTAAGCGTACGAAGGTTCTCATTGTTCTTGACGATGTTAACCATGTCGAGCAATTAAATTTTTTTGTTGGGGACCGTGACCAGTTTAGCTGTGAAAGCAGAATCATTGTAACAACTAGAGATGTTATGGTGCTTAGGGATATTGCAGTGGACGGAATGTACGAGGTTGAGAAATTACATTTCAATGAGTCTCTTCAACTATTTAATTCGATTGTTTTTAGAGAAAACGCTCCTGATATGGATTATAAGGATCTATCGAAAAATGTGGTAGAGCATGCTGGAGGCCTTCCATTGGCAATTACAGTTTTGGGTAAACACTTTCGTTCCCTGAGCCAAGAAATTTGGGAAATGGCGTTGGAGAAACTAAAAAGTGTTCCTCATAATGATATTCACAATGTGTTGAGAATAAGCTATGATGGGCTGGAGAAAATAGAGAAAGATATCTTTCTTGATATTGCATGTTTCTTCAAAGGGATGTGTGGACATTTTGTGGAAAGGATACTTAATGGTTGTGATTTTTTCGCAAGTATAGGTGTGCGTATTCTCAGTGAAAAGTCCCTCATAACTATTGATCCTTGTTATAGGCTTCAAATGCATGATCTATTGCAAGAAATGGGTAAAAATATTGTTCGTCAAGAATCTACAAAACTTGGAGAGCGCAGTAGGCTATGGATTCCTGAAGAGGCTCGTCAAGTCCTAGAGAACAAAGAAGTAAGTGCCAGTGTATTTCAATAATTCACTTTAGAATTGCATTAATAACTTGTGGATTAAGCGATTACACCAATCCATTGTTTATTGAGATGTCCTCATGCATACATTACTAACTTAGATTGCTTTTAATTTTTCCTTGTGTATTTACATTCCTTGTGTGTTTACACGTATCAGTACTGAAGTAACTTGTCATATACTCTATATGTTGATACTAAAATGACAGGGGAATGAAAAAGTTGAAGGAATATTCCTAGACTTGTCCGAAATTGATGAAGAGATACACTTGAAACCTAAAGTTTTCAAAAAGATGGCTAAGTTGAGATTGCTCAAAATTTACAATTCCTCTTATGTCAAGAAAGGCAAATTGTACCTTCAAGATCTCCGGTGTCTTCCTCCTTCACTTAGGTATCTCGAATGGCATGAATATCCTCTAAAATATTTACCATCAAACTTTAAGCCAAAGAATCTTGTTGACCTAAAGATGCCATACAGTCACCTTGAGCAACTTTGGGTTGGAGTCCAGGTATATATCCTACACTGTGGTACTAAACCTAATTTATAAGGCATTGTTTAGTTATTATTATTCTCATTTCTTTATCTTACAGGAGCTTAACAAGTTAAGAGACATTGATCTGAGACATTCCATTCACCTAACTCAAATTCCGGATCTGTCAAGTGCTCCAAATCTTGAGAGAATAAATCTCGAGTATTGCACAAATTTGTTTCAAGTTCCTTTGCATACTCTCAACACTCTTCCAATGACTATAACCCGGAGCCTTGTGTCTTTAAATTTAAGTTCAACTGGAATAACGTCTTTGCCTTCATCAATTGTCTCTCTCAATAATCTTTCGAAATTGTCTCTCAGAAACTGTACAAGACTTGCAAGTCTTCCAAGTTGCATGAATAAGCTGGATTCTCTAAAGGAACTTGGATTAGGCGGGTGCTCAATTCTTGAGAGGTTTCCAGAGCTTCCATTGAATATAATGACGTTGGATATTGGAGGGACAGCCATAAAGCATGTGTCCGCATCATCAATTGAGGATCGATTTTATCTCCGGGATATTGGAATGTCCAATTGTAAAAGTCTTGCGAGTTTGCCACCCAACATTTTTAAGATGAGGTCTCTTTGTGATCTTAATCTTAATGGTTGCGCAAATTTGAAGAGCCTTCCGGAAATCTTAGATCCTATGAAAATTTTAAAATGGCTTCGTTTAAGCGGAACAGGGATTAGAGAGCTACCAATATATGATATGGCTAAGCTTTCCGATCTCGATCTTTCTGATTTTCCAATCTCAAGTGGTTTCCTCCGTTGGGATCTGGAATTTCTTGATCTCAGTGGCTCTAATATAATAGCAATCCCTACAAGCGTCAAAGGGCTTTCTAAGCTGATAAAGATTTACGTAAACAATTGCAGGAATCTTCGTTCTATACCAGAGCTTCCATTGGGTTTGCAAGTTCTTGATGCCAGAGGGTGCACGTCGTTGGAAGTGGTGTCAAATTCAAAGAGAGCACTCACACAAGAGTTTTGGGATTATGTTCAAAATGAAAGGGCCGATTTCACTGAATACTCAATATTTTGTGATTGCTTGAAATTGGATCAGAAGCAGCGTCAAAGTATTTTAATGGAATTCCAGCTTAGAGTTTTTCGGACCGCTACACGATTTATATGTAAAGACCATGAGGTACGCTTTCTTTGTTTTATGTTTAAAATTAAAAAAAAAATCTTAACTAGTTATGCAATTGAAATAGAGCTTGACTCTCTACTATGGTACAGAGGTTGCCTTATTCGATTGGTGCGTGTTGTCCGGGATATGAAATTCCAATGTGGCTTGAGTATCAATCGGAGGGAGCTTTTATTGATATAAAGCCTCCACTGGAGAGGCAGAATTTCAACTTCTTGGGTATTGTATTTTGTGTTGTTGGTTACTGTTATTCTGACACCGAATTCCTGCGTGTAAGATGTGAAGTCAATCTTAAAGCGAACGAAGGGGAAAACAGAGAATTCACTTCGGCGTTTCAATATATTGATGAAGTTTGCATGAAGTTTTCAAGTAATGTGTGGATGTGGTATGTGCCTGATGACAATCATAAATGGCTCAATCCAGTGGAGGCGTCATTTGACTTTTCATTGGTAGGATGGGATAAGAGAAAAAGTAGACGGTTTAAGACTTCCAAGCATGAAGTGAAGAAATGTGGGATCCACCTGGTATATCAAAAAGAAATAGAGGAATTCAGATTCAATTTCATCAATGCTGGCCAACATCATGTACTTGAGGAATCCGCAGCCGAGCAGCCTGAATCCATTGCACGCGAAACCGTCGACTTTGATACAGATGAACCACGTCTCAAGAGAATTAAATTTACAGATTCCTTTGACTGCTGATTATTTGATCTCTTCCTGGAATGAATCATCAGTAATTCCAAAAAAAAAAAAAAGTATGAATATGGATTTTGGTTTCTTTCTACTACTCTAATTTGTGAATAATACAGCTTTGTTATATACTACGCTATTTTCTATAATATTTACTTTTTATGTTCCTTTATTTCTTCTTTTTTTAAACTTATTATTTTGCTTTTGTGTGTGTTAGTGCATTTTATATTGGCTTATTTTTGGCAAATTAGTTGTAAGATTGGTTGGCATTTTAATTTGGTAGACCTCTTAAGGAAAGTCTTGTTATCATGTTTATGGACTACAAATCAAAGGATTTGATTGCTGAAAATGAAGAGTGGACTTTTGGGGGAATTAATGGCTGGCAAATCTTCAAGCTTGAGGAGAACGTGGTGTGGGGACACAGGGCTGAAAACAGAAACATCTGGATAGGAACATGAGCAACTTTGCTATATATACGTAAGTGGTGTACGTGAGTTTTTTGGTCCCCTTGAAAAAAAATATTGGGTAATCAAAGGATACATTTGGGGCATGGTTTTTATAGAAGAAATATTCAGAAAAAGTCTATGTGAGAGTGAGTCTTTATGTGTTGATTGAAGATCGTCCTTCGGGAGAAGGATTAGAAACTTTCGGGAGAAAGTGCACTGCCAGCCGAAGGGATTTCACCGTGCAGTTTGAAGACGAGTGGTACTCGCTGGACAAGGCCATTAAGGAGATTCGACACAGCGGCGACAACGTCAAGGAGGGAGTCTTTTGGTGTATAAGTCCGATTGGTATTTGTAATCCTTTGAACTTAGTGGATTGTTCATTGTCTGGGCGTGGCCCCACAGAGTAAGTGTGTGCACCGAACTGCGATACCATTTTCTGGTGTTCTTTACATTCCTGCATTATTTTCCTGCATTTTGCCTGGCTGGTTTAATTTCAGATTTACTGTTAAAAACAGTGTTACCGTAAAGTTTTGCAACACCACTTGTGACACCAGGATAAAAACGGACCTAACACAAGTGTTTTGGGTCTCTTGGTCTCAATCGACTGGTTGTAACCATCGACTATAGTGAATTTATTAAACGAGCTTTTTATCGCACTCAATTATTAATATATATATATATATCGAAATTTTGAATGACGGGTGACCACATCATGTTATGTGCAACAAAGAGTTTCCTTTCAAACTTTAACATCCTTAATCAAGTTAAGGATACGTTACAACATTTATTAAACTCAATAATAATTTAAGGATACTTTACAATTTTTATTAAATTCAATACTAATTTTTCAAAATTACAAATTTAAGAGATACGTTTCAATTCACTAAAAAATTAAGGAACAAAAATATTTCGAAAAACCCTTTGATTAATAAATACTCGATTACTTTCCATTTCTTTCCTTTTTCCACAACCATATCCAAATTTAACCTTATCCGAGATTTCTTTTTAAATCAAATTGAGCAAAATTCTGATGATCTTATCCTAGCCTAGTAAACAAAACATTGCATGGAGAAAAGAATCCGTTTCATGGTCATGTAAATTATTGCCCCAGCCGTTTAAGCATATATA